GAGAGTTCGATTCTCAAACACATCAATGCTAAGCTCTCAGCCAAGCCGACACGACACGAGGAATTTCCGAACATTCGCCGGGCGTTTGCCGCCAGGCGGGGCCAATCGAGTACTGTAAGGTCAGGGTTTGTGAGTATGGATTCTGCAGGCGTTGCATTCGTTTTGTCAGTCGCAGTGTGTAAGAGAGAGAGAGAGAGAGAGAGAGAGAGAGAGAGAGAGTGTGTGGGGGTCTCCCCCTATGCCCAGCAGAAGAAGAAGAATGTGTGAGTGCGAGTGCGCTTGCCTTGGTCTGCAGCCGGCCTGACACTACTTTCAAGAGCATTCAAAGCCACAGCCCTGCAATTCGAGGAACCTCGGTGCCGTGGTTCGGTGTCTGGCGCGCGGGGAGGCGATCGGTTGCGGGGGTGCCGGTGTGCCGGCTCTAGTCACTCTAGTCTAGTCAAGCCATGTCACTCTAGTCAAGCTTGATGTTCGGCTGACGAAGGGATCAGACCCTCAGGATGTCAACACCTGGCTGCGACGTGGGGATGGAGTCCAAGACACCTCAGGCGCGAGCGATGGCTTTCAGAGGTTTTCAGGTTCTGGCCGGCAGGGGAACGTGGCGTTGTATTGGTCTCTGTTGCGGGGTGGCTGATGTCACGACCCAACCCTGTCTGGTTTGGCCTGTTATTGAGGCGGCACACCTTTACATGCCTGCTGTGCCCAGCATCCCGTTGGCATCAAGCGTGAGTCTGAAGCCATGGGCCACATGTAACTGCATTGGACGGTTTATCCAGGTCATTACCAGGGCTCCGCATGTGCCGGCGAGAGCCGAAGCACAAACCATGGCTGGCCCCCGTACTTCTACCCAACGTTTGCCAGTGCTTCAAGAAAACCCTTCCGATTTCTTGCTTTTGCTCCCCTCCTCACCCCCTCCCCCTCCCACACAGCCCAGGCACAAGCTCCCTGGCGCGGCTGCAGTCGTTGCCTTGCTGTGCAACCTGCGGGCACAGGGGGAGGGAGATGTGAGAAATTGAGTTGGGTACTTCCGAGCTACGGTGGAATTTCCTCCAGTTCTCTCAGACGTTTCCCAGTGGGGATGTAAAAGAATCTTGGGGTTGCTGTTGAGCGATTATTGACATATGAGGTGCTGGGTAGGGACGCTATGGAAAACCAGGCCCAGGCTGTGAAGAGAGGCCGAGGATCCTCAATCAGATGGCACTGTCCCATCGGAGGCCGACGTGAATGCTGGAGATAGCGAAGGCGACTCACCTCTCGCCCATGCTCGTGGCTCTACGGCATGCCAGATTTTGATTCTCCGACCTCATGCGCAGGGCATGTCATGTTCAGGTGTAAGTCTGGGAGATTTTCACTTCACAGGCTCAAGTGCATCGTGGGCCGGGGACAGGGGTTTGGGTGGGTGGGATTGGGACTTGGCTCAGTTTCCGCTAGCCTTGTCAGGGTCTAGGGGTACTCAAACTACCCAATCTTGTCCCAGCACTAGTCCGCAGAAGAAGAGAGAGTCGACGACATAGCTCGGGGGAGCCGCAGTGTCACCGAGAATCTGGGTCAACACGACTCAACCGGTCAACAGACAGGGGACACCGTGTGCCCAGAGCGCGCGGATTGGCCCCCATGCCGTCTGAGGAGAGGAAGAAGAAAGGAAGGAAAGACTGAGAAAATAACAGTAGTCATTAATCGCTGCGCGAAAAGTCATTGCGGCCGCGTTCCGCGACTGCAGGCCGAGTACGCCCGAGTACGCCCGAGTACGCCCGAGTACGCCCGAGTGCGCCCGAGTACGTCCGAGTACGCCCGAGTACGCCCGAGTACGCCCGAGTCATACCCGGTCATACCCGGTCATACCGTCCCGTGGTTTTCCGCAGTCGCGGTTTCCCGTCACAGTGCGATTAGTCGCCCAAGGCTACTTCGGCGCCAAGGCCGGCCCCACTGACTTCTGTGTCTGAAGCTTTGGACATCTTGGGGTTTGGGTTCTGGGCGTGGGCTCAGGGATGAAAAAAACGCTGAAAGACGGCTTTGGCGTGTTTGAGGGCAGTAGGATCATTAGGACCAGATGTCGTAGGCTTCGAGCGTTAGGGTTGCAAGTTCCAGGGCCTAGACCGTGTTCTTTCACAAGTCGTGCTTCTACAGGCACTGCAGCAATTCCCCTACCACCACCGTACTTCCTCCCCTGAAGGAGTCTTCATACCCTGCAGTGAGTTCGTAGCATAGAAAATCTTTGTAAGGATGAGAGAGGAGCGCAGAACTGCGCCGGAGACGGGGAACCTCTTAATCTTCTTCTTCCTCCTCTTCCTCTTCTTCTTCTTCTCTTCTTTTTCTCTGCTTCTTCTTCTTCTTCTTCTTCGACAAGGCTTGGGGAGTTTCAGGGGCCCCTCGCGCGAGAGCGCGCCCAAGTGCCCCCCAGCTGCTAGAACCACTTACCTGGTACCGTTCGGCCCACTACTCACCCTGGGGGTCCACAGTGTGCGAGGGATGCTACTCCGGCCTCTTTTCCTCTTCCCTCCTTCCAGCGCCCACAACCCCCTCTCGCTCTCCCTCTGTCTCTGCCTCTGCCTCTGCCTCTGCCTCTGTCTCTGTCTCTGTCTCTGTCTCTGTCTCTGTCTCTCTCCTCTCCTCTCTCTCTCTCTCTCTCTCTCTCTCTCTCTCTTGCTCTTCTCTAAGAACGGCTTAACAGCTTGGCACCAAACGAGCCATCGAGACCCAAGTTTTGCAGAGGAGATGGAGGAGCTGCTGAGGGCACAAGGGGCGCAGCTCCGGGGGCCCTACTACCAGTGCCTGGGAGACAAGAGCAGGAGTTGATGTTTGGATGATCGGATGTGTGTTTGGGCACGGGTTGAAAGCGCAAAAAGAATAGGCTGAGGTGGAGGCTCTGGCATTTCCAGTTGAGTCCACACAACCAGTAGCCCAGAGCAAAAAAAAGACAGACGGGCATTGTCTGTGCCCTCGCAGGCCTGGAAGGGCTGGGCCTGAATCCTGGCCTCCCTCCATGTTCGGAGCTCCTGTTTGTCTCCCCTGTGTCTCCCACCTGTCCTGGCCCTGCTGTTGCTAAAGTGTTTGTGGGGTCATCCCGTGGCAAAAGAAGCGTGTCCAGGAAGTCAACTAATTTAGAAGGAGGTAGGGGAGGGAGAGCTGTGAATGTAACTGGGGTTGTATTCCACTTTGGCATCAAACCAGAACCCGCAATGGCTGAATTAAAGATGTACTTCGTGGGATACTCCCTAAACACCGGGCGGGGGGGCGGGGGGGCTTGAAACCACGATCCTGCCAACCGAGCAAGACAGACCATCTTGGCTCGTGCATGCCTAGGTTTGGCTGGCTCCAGCAGCGGCGCTAGCCCTCGGAGACATTCTCAGACAAGTTCCCGAACATTTTCTGTACTCTTAGACCTGGCTGTAGGGGGTTTGGGGTGGGGTGCGTGATTTGGAAGATAGCAGGTAGCAGAGATAGGAACCCTCAAGGATGCCGTTTCGTGGATCGTCGAACCTTAAGGGAAAAGACGCTCTCCGCCATCCGCTCTTGCTGACACTTTGCCGACACGGCCTTGCAAGAACCGGCGCGCGGAGCCAAAAGGAGTGCGTCGAGAGCCAAGCGGAGTGTAATTACTTGCAGGGCCGGAACTACGATGCATGAACACCTCGACTTTCAACAGTAGGGGACTAGCTGCGAAACTTGAGTGTTCAGAGGTTAGAGGTTTCCAAGCAGCTCTGCAACGATAGCTTGCGAGTGGGGTTGATGGAAGAAGAGGCCAGGCACGCGGAGATGCCTCTCAAGTGTAGGGTCCCAAACTTGAAATCCTGCCCTGAAACCGCCAGCCGTTGTAGGTGCTGACGGCCTCAAACATCCCAGCGTGCGAAAGCTAGGAACGCGAATGTTTTATAAAACGTATATTAGCCCTTGTTATACCGCCATGCCAGCTTCACTGTAATCGACCGGACCTCCGAATTGCTCCTGCGAGCCTAGGACCTCTCGAAGGACAAGTTGGCCGGGGCCCAAGCCTGGTGGGGTACTTCCTGTACGAGGGTTTAGCCACGTCCAGTGTTTAAGCTTCAAGCAAAAAGCCTCAATCCCAAAACCATCGCCCCCCATGCATTGGCATGGATGGCGGCATGCACAGCTTTCGAATCTATGCCACGATGCTGCAGAAGGGGTCGCATCGCCGTGCGGAGTGGCAACCCCAACCCGAGAGTGAGAGCCCAACCCGTGGCAAAAATCATTACGTCCGACCGAGGCCCTCCAGCGTTTGCGTGAGGCAGCGGAGACAGCCGGCGGCCAAGGAGTTGGTGGATTGGAGTTTCGGGGAGTGCGAGGCCACGTCAGGTCAACCGTCTACTTTCAGAGAAACTGGTGGTCAACCCGTTGATCCTCCACGACACACACAGTAGGATTCATGAGACCCATCTGGCATCTTATGAGAAATGCGCATCGTCCCGGATTCACAAAGTTTTGAGGGTGACTTTGGCGGGGGTTTCGCGGCGCTGGAACGACGATTGAGGGCCCTGACAGGCATGCCCTCGCTTGCTCTCCAAACACCCCGAAATCTGGTTTCTGGAGGCAGCAGTAATTCGCATTTTGCTGCTGCAGGCCAAGATCGAGTTGTCCAGTAAAGTGCAGCCTGGCGCCCAGGGGACCTGTCGTCCACATGCATCCTAGCTTCTTCAAGTCGTGATGAGAACGAACCGCCTCTTCCAGCTCAGCCGCAAGCAAAACCCGAAAGCCCGAAAGCAACGGGAGTGCGCAACAGTCATCTTGCGGACCCTGTGCCTGGACCATGGCGGGTCATGCAGACTTCTTCCGTCTGGCAGTCCGTAAGAGTTTTCAACAGTTGCCTGTCCACATGGAACAGCAACAAGTTGAAAGCACAATTCATGGTAGCATGCTAGCTGGGAGTCGGCTTTTGTTGATCCCAATTCCGGTCGCCCACAATAGCTTTTACCGCAATTGCCCAGTCGTTAATCCTCGAGCACGGACTAGATTTGGATAGCCATCAACAAATCCCATGCAAGGACGGATGTCAACCTTCCTTTCATCACCGCGGACCAGTCGGGCCCGAAGCACCTGAACATTCAGCTCTCCCGGCTGGAGCCTGAGCTGGGAAGGGGCGCCAGTAAATGTCCAATAGGCTCGCATCTTTTTTTGTTGGCATGTGGCAGGTGCGAGGCGGAGCCCAGAGAGTAGCACAAGGAAAAAGTACTGTAAATGCCTGCCTTGCCCCGCGCGTATCGACCGTTATGTTTGTGAGCACCAACCGGGAGTTGCGCAAGTTCACAAGTAATGGGCGAAGTGATGGGTTAATCAGGTAAATCACCTGAGATAGGAGGAGGCATCAGGTTTAGTGTGCATGGTGACATCCACGCCCTACCAGATACAGACAAATCGGTGTAGGTACTGTATAACACCGCTTCCCGCGCCCAAAATATTAAGCAGCGTGTTAGCTGCTTGGCCTTCTCAGACCCGGAGGTCGAAACTGGAGCAGCTCGTCGATCCGTTGCTCTCCCGGACCAAGAACCCATGTGAGGCCTGCAACAAGGCGCGCCCGCCGCTCTCGAATCCCTTCTTGGGGGCGGAGTTGGAGAGTTGTTCACCTCTATGGCTGCTTGAGGATGCCGGCGTCAAACCCGACGAGCAGGGGGCTTGGAGACTGCTCTTGCGACATTCCCCGTATCCTTTAGCGCCTTGATTTTCCTTTGTCATGCTTTGCCAAGTGCATTGTTGAGTAGGCCCGTAGCTGCTGTTTGGTGGCACGCAATGAGGTGAGATCACAAGAATCGTCCAAAGACCCAAAGAACTAGAGTCAGATATTGGTGGCTCCCCCATGAGCTTGCCTGAGGTGGGTGTCTGAGCTTATCTTCAACCAATGAAATCAGATTCAACAAGCTACCGCGACTGGCGGTCTTCGAACTCATAAAGTGCGGGACGTGGGGCGTTTCTTTAGAATCGCTCGACCTGCACAGATTGCCAGGATCAATGAGGTCCTCCTTGTCGGAGGCATGACTCGCATGCCAAAGGCGGGGGCCGGCAGGGGTTCTCACATGTTTGATGAGGCATCCTATAGTTGGTTCAACATTCTGAAACGCCACTCCGCGGGCTTGAGCTTTTGGTTTCTCAGAAGTCGGCAGCATCTGTCCTTTTTTGTTTAGAAAGACAAGCAGTCACCCTTGTGAATTAACCGTGTTCAAAGCGTTGATAAACTTGAGAGGACCCTGCCGCAATCATTCATAGCACGCTCAGTCGGACCTCTAAATCCATCTGCGAGATGTTTTCTTTTGTGGTGGAGTCTCCGTTGCGCGTTAGGGCTGAGTCCGGGCACCTGGTATGTGCACGGGTGGATGTCTGTGGTTATCTACCTCACGAGATGCTAAAGGGGGGAAGGTTCGAATTTCTGCACATAGTGCCTTGAATTATTGTAACTTGAGGCCGTTGGTCATATCAGCAGCCCCTAGCTGGACCTGCCTGATGGGAGGTCACCGAGCTGGTGCGTTCGATCTATGGCCTGCGGCTCAGATCGGCTCAGTGCCTCACTAGTTGGGGGGCCCAGGAGTTGCCGGGATTTCGGCTTCGGAGCTGCAGTCCACGAACTTGAAGAAGATGTTCAGATATGTTCAGACAACAGCTTTCCCAGGCATGGCAACAGATTAGACAACGCCGCATGCACGCAAAGGCTCGACAGGAAGTAAAAAAAACCCGAGGCAAAGACCCCTCGAAGGCGGTGAACCCGGACGAGGCCGTGGCCATGGGTGCTGCCATTCAGGCCGGAAGGGATCTGCAAAGGACTCGGTGGTATGCGGCAGAATCGGAATGCAGATGTCTTCTTCGGGCACAGGGCGGTGTCCTGAAGGGTGACGTGAAGGATGTGCTTTTGTTGGCCCGTGCCTCAGATTTCATGCCAGGCAGCATCGGACAAAGTGATCGTTGAAAGAGGGGCAAACGCAAGAGGCGTTACTCCATTCCACTCCAGAGTCCCTTATCGGGCCTTACCGTTTTCGGTTACCAGCCACGGTGCATCACCGGGCTTTGACCTATAACGGTATATAAGCTTGCATGGTTGCAGCAGCTCTCCGAAGTGGTCTGCACCTCTCCTAGAGTTGTGCCAGGATGTGACTCCCCTGTCGCTGGGCATCGAGACGCTGGGAGGCGTTTTCACCCGTCTGATCAACAGGAATACGCAGGGCCCTCAAAGGGTCAGAGCACAATGCGCCAGTTCATGGTGTGCAGCCTTTGCTGAACTACAAGTCCATCCAAAGACATTTAAAGTTTCGGCGCTTTAGCCGCAGAGTCAACAACCCAGTGCAATCCAGTGCACATCCCTCCAGGACGATCCCCACAAAGAAGTCGCAAGTTTTCTCCACTGCGGCAGACAACCAGACACAGGCCGCTTCGGCGGCGCCTTCAGGATTCACCGCAAGTTATTCGGGGTGGAACTCTTCAGACAAGGGGCAGGGTGTTGCGCGAGCTGCGCTCGTGGTTTTAAGGGGTCGGCTTCGGGTGTTTTCGGGATGTCGAGGTGAAATTTGAAAGAGGTCTCCGAAAGAGAGGAACGTTCTTTCCGGTGCAGAGGCCATCTTGATCACAGGTGGGCATCAAGGTCTTCCAGGGGGAGCGTGAGATGGCAGCAGACAACCAGATGTTGGGACAGTTTCTTGGCTTCAGACGAGTTTCCGGTTGCTACCCCGGGTCACCCTAGTCAGCTTGGGCCGAGACCGACCCCGAGAGCAATGAGTTGCCTTTTGAGAAGAGTACCTCGCCGACAAATATCAGCACGCCAAGTGTTTGACATCTCCTTCATCTGTGGTCCGTTCGCACGCATCGTGGCTCGGTTCATCTAGGTGCGCGGTCAAACGACTTAAAACCCAGAATCGTTGTAAAGGGGTCGGCTTGTATTGGCATTTGTTGTGCTCTAAGATCCGCCGTGCCCTGAGAACAGCCAGGTTTACTGTAGCCTGGTCCGTCCCAGCTGCGGCCGATCAAGTCGTAGGGGGGCCATGGGGCAAATTTGGCCGTGCGCATCAAAGCTCCCGTGCTCCGGAATACCATGCCCCACATGGCCTCTGGGCTCTGCTCCCTTTGCTCCCCAATAAGCCCCCAACTCCCAAAGCGTGGTTCAGGTTTGACCTGGTCGGCATCCCACCGGCCCCCCGCGGCGTGCCACAGATCGAGGCCAAAATTGGGACCGCGGCTGCAAGGGCGCTTGCAGATGTTGGAAGGTTCAGGTTTGGGATCTCTAGACAGACGAGTTCCAGTCCAATGTAATCAGGGAAAGCAAGTCGCAGACATCGAGTTTCCCAGAGGCCCGCCGCAAGGAGCCCTGCAAGGGGAGCTCTCTGCATAGAACTCTGCGCAGCTCTCTGCTCTGCCTTTTTTTTGTTGGTGTGCATGATTTCATTATGTGAGACCTGAGAGGTGGCATTCGACATCGACGCCAATGGCATTGTCAATGTCAGCGCGTCTGACAAGGGGACGGGCAAGAAGCAGGCACCGGCATGAGCAATCACGAGCACTCACTTGTGCTGTACTGGATTGAGTACCTTGGATTCTGGGTGTGACCTCCAAGACGTGACCCTACTGTGACAGCATCTGAAGAATCGTGATGCCGGGAACCCTCATTTACGTCCCTACTGTGACAGCATCTGAAGAATCGTGATGCCGGGAACCCTTATTTACGTCCCTACTGTGACAGCATCTGAAGAATCGTGATGCCGGGAACCCTCATTTACGCGACGTCGACGTTTCCGTTTACACCGCAACCGCCCACTGTTCCAGTTTGCACTCTTCAGATTTTCTTTGCCGAATGCAGGCCATGATCTGTTAATGGCGCTTGCGCTTCTCAGCTGGGCGAAGTACCAGTAGTTGTGGACCCTTCCTGGCTTTAAATTTCGTGTTGTTGTTCCGTAGAGCCGGCCACCGCAGTTTTACGCATGTCATACCAACACCTGCAAGCTGGAGCCGGGATGCATCACAATCCGTGCGTGCATGCGCGTGCGCGTACCAGGTCTTGCACCCAGACGCTTATGACTAGCTCGGTGGCAAGACACACCCCAGAGACCTTGGACCCGAAACCCATGAAAAGTCTGCAGGCCATCACCATCCGGTCCAGTGGCGGCCTTTCGGATGCCGAGGCGTCTCGGGCGATCGAATTTCCGTGGGAGTTAGTTTTGGAGGGAGGATGAGGGAGGCAAAGGAATTGAGGGTATACATGGTTTGTATGGTTTGTGCAGAGGTGACAGAGCAGGAAAGCTGATAGTGCAGGAGAGCCTCAGGGAGCTTAAGTGCTCGAATGAATCAAGGCATGTTTGGATGGCGACTAGGAGCTCAGTGACCAGTACAAGTTGCATGTGGACGGCATGGCAGCAGCACGCAATTCAGGGACTGCAGTCAGACCACTTGCAAGACATGAGTGCGCAGGTCCTCCTTATCTTTCTGTCGTCGCAGGAAGATCTTGTAAAAGGGAGAGTGGGAGTACCCCACCCGCCGCCCGCAACGTTGTGAAATCCAGTCCAGTCGTGAAGGTTCCGAGGCACAGGGCTATTTTTCCAATTGAATCTTGAAGTTCGCCCCCCATCACGAACCAGCCTTCACCTTTGCACCTCGCAGGTCGAACGCATGGTGCAAGAAGCGGAGCAGATGCGAGAAACTGACCAAAGGAAGAAGGCACCTCTTGACCAAGCTTGCTTGCGTGCCCTCCCTGCTCGTGCGTATGTGTGGGGCTTTGTGCGATGTGTTGGGTTTAAGTTTAGGGTTCCCAAAGGGATCTTGAGGAGAGTGAAAGCATGTAGCCAGAAATAGCACCAAAGCCGTGTCAGGACACAGTGCAGGCCAAGAACGAGGCCGAGACCCTCGCCTACCAGGCGACTGGCTTCAAAGTGCTAGTTCAGTTTCGCTCTCTTTTGGTTTGGTGTAGTTTGTTATCACCGAGCATGTGAGGGTGAGCTTGGGAAGGCCCTCAAGATGATGGTGGTGAATGGTTGTGGGTGTCAGTGTGGGGCATTTAGTTTTGTGACAGCAAGCGTTTAGCACGCTTTAGGAACTTTGTTTGCTTAGTTGCAGTCCGTTATAGTCCGTTTAGGTGCAGTGCAGTGCGGGCCTGGCTCAGCCTGCAACATCTAGAGCTGCTAGAGCCTCACAGAGAAGAATTCACAAGGTGAGGAGTGTGCAAAACCAGAAAACTAAATCCTCCACCCCCAAGCCGCTGTTACTAGGCGGAGAAGCAGCAGACAGACCTCAAAGACAAGCGCCTTGGAGGCATTTTCAGGGAGGCGTCTTCGGTTTTTGGGATTTGGTAAGTTTGTGTCTGTGGTTTTTCCCAGGCGTTGCTTTGAGATCTGTGTCCTATCTGAGGATGAGCACTGCGGATGCAGATGAGCTGAGGAAGCTCACCGAGGCACGGTGCGCTTGTGTTGCAGAATCGTGCGCCGGGGTCGGGAGGGCTTGAGGGTGAGGGTTTGGGGCTGCAGAGGAAGCCATCAAACGGTCGACGCTGACTTCTGAAATTTTCTGAAAATGTCCATGTCCAGCACGGGAGGACCTCCGAGCATGCATGGCCAACGATGATGCCGACCTCGATGAGGTGAAGCAGAAGACCAAGGCTCTGGGGGAGTTCTCGTTGCGCTATCCTCAAGCTGGAACTCCCGGGCATCATGTTCCGCAGGAAGTAATCATGTTTGCATGCCAGGAGTTGCAGGAGAAGGTGTGGAAGATCACGCAGCAGGCATATCAGCCATGGGCCTGGCATTCTGATGCATCATGCAGTCATGCAGCTCTGAGGCGCAGCTCTCAGTAGATCAGTAGATGAAGGAGAGAGTTGCCCCCCAAACACGGGAAGAGAGAGCTTCACCAAAATGCCCACACTCTTGTAGCCGAGGCAGGGATCTGCCAGCGAGGACTCCAAGCCCGAGGAGGCTGCTCAGGAGAAGACAGAGGAGAAGGAGAAGAAGTGAGGGTGATTGGAAGCTGCAGCTGGGCATGTAAATGATCACAGCCATCCCGCTAAAACGCCTTGAGCTGTCGCCGAAGGCGTCGGGAGCTGAGTTTTGGGGTTGTTGGATCGGTTTAGGTGAATTAAGGGGATGTCGAGGGTTTGTTTCGGTCAACGACCATGTTAAGGCTAAGGCGCCTATTCATTTTGCTTTTCGTCGCCGTGACACCACGTTGCCATGCAGCTTAGCTGCGTGCCCGGTGTGCGTGGCGATCTTCTTGGCCTGTGGGTCCCCTGGGGAACCTCGGTGCTCACGAACTCGAAGCCAGCATGAGCAAAGCATCCAACCGCTTCGGTACTGCATGTCTTCTGCAGCAGCGCCTTTGTTAGGTTCCTCTGCAGGACCCAGACCCGGCCATCGTTGATAATTTGCTCTGGGCCTGTGAAGATCGGGAGTTGAAGGTTTCAAGCCCTGGATCAGAGGATGACCGCAGGCAGTAGGCACAATGCAAGAGGGCACCAGAAGTATACTGCAGACCTGTTGCGTTGCAGTGAAACCTTTGATCGCCCTTTTGTGTAGTTGGTGGCCAAAGCAGAAAGTGATACCAACGCTGTTTACAGCGATTGCAGAAGGCGGGTGGCCTATGCTGGAATTTCTCAAGCGTTCGTCGGCCTGAGCGCCTGAAGTTAACATGTTCTTCATATGCTCTCGATTTGACTTGATGCTGGTGTTTGTTGAGAAACTCCCACATTCGATGCTTCGTTACAGACTTCCCAAGAAGCTGCGGACAGTTGAAAGCGCCCTCTGCATTGCACCAAATTTCACCGAACCCTCTTCGTCGGTGGAATTTTCGGGAGTTTCGGATGTTTGGAACACGGAGGTCCGGATTCTAGAGAGGTCGTGTTGGATTTGGGTGAGCCGTAGTCTTTGTGATCTCTAGATGCCCGGGTACTTTCTTCTGAGAAAGCCGGGCCAAATCTCGGCGAAACTGATTTTTCTATCCCTGTGGCTGGCGTTTTTGGCTCCAGAAAGGGGAGGCCTCAGACTTGGTGCCCGGGTGCAGATGCAGGCCGGTTTGCGATTTCACTTGCATGCCGAAGATTTATGCCCCCCTACCTGCCTTTACGAACTGAATAGGATTCTTTCGGATGAAGTGCAAGTGCTCCCCGAACCACTCAAGTTCAGCCACAGAACCCCCCAGGCATGTCGGGCTCCGGGCTTCCTGGGCCGGCATCTCAGGGCGTTGGCCTCGTTGGCGCATTCGCCTTTGCTGTAAGGCACTGTAAGGCTAGGTTGGGGCCGCATGGCCCGCTGAGTACCCCAGCTTCGCAGGAAGTCCAGCAAGTCTTCCTGCACCAAGAAGTTTTCTGGTCGACTTTTCCGTCATTTTTGAAATGCCGGGTTCGTGTGAAAGTTTTCGGTGCGAAAATCTCAGGCAGCCGTTTCACCATAACTTCACCTCAAGCTTCTCTGTTTCAATGCAGGAGCAGGCGAGGAGCAGCCAACAAGGCCCGAACCTTCAAGTCTCGCGCTTTCGATTGTCTTGCGCCCCAAGGAGAACCGGCAACCGGAAGATCACGTTGACGCCGCTCACAGACCCGGACGCCTTTACACGAGGCCTTGGAAATTCTCTGCCATGCCGCTGCTTCAGCTTTAGCCGCCCTTTCCTTGGCAGCTTTCTGTGCTCTTGTGGAGCCGCAGTCGGCTGCCCAAAGAAGGAATCTTTCGAGCGTGGCTGGGCATGCCATGCAAGCCATTGTTGGCTCGAGCTCAAGCTCATTTTCTTGTAGCTGCCCTTGTGCCAATTCTGCTCGGTCAAACCTCGTGATGCGGTGCTTGAGCACCTGAAGTTACCTCCAGGTGATGCCATGTCGTGGCAGCCATGGCAGCCAAAAGCGCATGCCAGTCACCACCTCAAGTCGGTGATTGGTGCTTGGGCAGGAAACCACAGGTACACATGGGTTGGCATACGCATGCTTCAGCAATCCGAATGGCAGGAAGCTCGACCTCCCCGCTTTTATTGCCGGCCGGGTTGTGGAATGTAAAGTAGCGCAATTCGCCGTTGTGAGACCATCCGCAGTGCAGCTTTGACTTTAGCCACCTCCCAGAGAACTTCACTACGCCGAGGATTGTCCGTTTCCAGCGTTGAGTTCTTTCTGGATCTGTAACAATTTCCCTGGCACAAGTTGATCCTGGCATGGAGCCGTAAGGAGCATGTCGATATTCCCCCACCGGTTCAACGGGAACGAAGTTGAGAGTTTGAGAGCTTGAAAAAAGTCATTCTGAATCTATCGGAAGATGCGAGAGGGCTGTGGAGATTGTGGAGGAATCTGGGCATACTTACCAACGCGTTGGGCCTCCCCAGGCAATTTCTGCTGGTCATCTTGTGCTGCAAGGTATGCATGGAACCTGGAGAAATGTGATCTTGTGGTAGCATGACTCCTTCTAGCTTCTCGATTATAGTTTTGCTGCAGGAGCTTACGCAAGAGACCCCTTTCAGCTTCGGTGTCTGCAGTTCGCATCCTGTTGCATTCCTGTTGCGTTCGCGCGCGGTTCGGTTCTGCGTTTGTTCGCAGTCTGTTCAGTTCCTGCAGTTCCGCTTCCCTATTCACGGTTCGCTTCCGCAGCTTTCCGAGCCTCGCATCCGTCTGCTTGGACAACTTGTCTGACTTGAGCACGAATGTGTGTAAGCAGCTGCACAAGTATTCATCCCCACCCTGCAGTTATCTAGGAGCCATCCTGCCATTTATGCATGGATAAATGCTGTAGGAGACTTCTCGCAGGATTCTGTCGCGGTGGTTGCTGTCCTGGAGATGGCACTGCAGGGGCTCCAGGGGCGTTCATTCTGCTGGTTTGGACACGATAGGGATTCTCTGGGGTGGGCGCGCCAAGGATACTTGTTCGTTGGCGCGCTCCAAGAAAAGATACTCGGCGGGATTCCCTACCTTGTTCTCTGGAATGGGGCGCGGCCGGGACACTCGGTGGGATTCTTTGCAGGAGCTTTTTGGGTGTATCGCTACGGGATTTTGTGCCGCATTCTTTTGGGGTGGGCGCTCGGCGGGATGGGCAGAACACCGGGCGCACACCTCGCTGGGGCAAAAAGCTGTGCCAAAGTGCATGCTGTGGAAGTGATCGGGCCGAAACCTTGCCTGCTGCTTGCGAGTGTGAGAAGTGAAAGTTCCCAAGGCAAGGAACAACTCCATATACTACATTGTCTCGAGATAGGCCGAATTAGAGATATCCAGAATGGCGAGGCTGGAGGAAACACCCGGTGGCGCGCACGGGGCCACGGTTCACAATTGGCCGTGCCGGCTGCGAGCCCAGCTGACCAGGATGCGAGGAGTGCGAAGGTTCGATATCATGGCATGAGGTTGCCTTTGAGCTTTCCGGCTTCAAAGTTCAATTGTGTTTGTGTTATAATGGGGAGGGGGGGGGGGCGGGCGACAGGCGTTGGGATCAGGGTATGTTTCGCGGGTATGTTTCGGGGTATGTTTCGGGTATGTTTCGCGGCATCATGAGCTACTTTACCTGCAATTGCGGGGGTATGCTACGGGGTATGTTTCGGGGTATGTTTCGCGGGTGTGCAACCCGTGCGCCCTTCTTAAACCTGGGCCCCCCAAAAGAATACAAACCCAATTGAAGGACTTGCCAATGTCCAGTCGCGAGCGCATGTCGAACACATCCCACGTCCGAATCTGCACACCAATAGCTTCCCTAAATTTAGCTACGCTTCGCTTGTTGGGCCAATTAGCCACTCGCCCAGCTCTCTCGACGAATGGCAGCGGCGATCGGAAGACGTGGATGGACACCGCCATCAAGGCTCTCGTTGTTCACGGCATGTGTGACTAATCACGGTTGCGCTGTCCCTTGCGGTTTGTTGGTTTGCAGTTGGTGTGGGGGAAGATGGATCCATGAACCGGCAGCACCTCCCACAGCTCCAAGTTCTTGATATGCCTGCGGCGCACCTTCATCTTGGCCGCAGGAGAAGATTTGGATCCCTGGCCCGGGAGCGCATGCCACGGAGCGCAGCTTCTACAACGCGGACACTTGCCTTTGTTTTTCTGATAGTTCAGTGTGGGTCACAGGCTCTGTGAATAACCGGGGGGCCTTAGGCCTTAGGCGACCTTAGGTTCGCCGGCGTTCAGCTTTGATCCATGCTTGGGAAGCAGGAAAACCACGAGATGGATGCGAAGAAGTGCGTGGAGGCAGGTGCGAGCACTCGCCATCTACAACCTGGGCATATCATCAAGCTGAGATGCAGCAGAGTGGACAGTGTTTGTGGTGGCCTTGTCATCAAACTTCAGTGTCTTTGGCGGCTTCCTTTTGCCTTCCCTTCGTAGAGGGGTCATGCGCGTCAGGTTCTTACGCTCAGAATCCCAGTGGTGCAGGCCAATCTAAAGTCATTCCCAAAGCTGACGCTACACCAGCAACCCAGGGTAACAGATGGTATAATAATGTAACATATGCAATGGGCCAGTGCCCACCCGCCCATGCACCCGCCCACCCGCCCACGCGCCCACCCGCCCAACCGCCCACCCGCCCGCCCGCCGACCCGGCGACCCGGCCACCCGGCCACTCACCCCACCCGCCCACCCGACCTAGGCACGCCTGCCCGAGTGCACGCACGCGCAAATTCACGCGCATTCACGTGCACATGCGCTCGTTTTTTTGCTGTGTATGAAGCTGGCTGTGCAGTCAGATCATACGTCAGTCGGCAGAACCTGTAGAACCTTATTTAGGCAGCAAGTTACAGCTGCCATGACAATGAACGGGTCTGAGGGCTTAGGATCCTAATGTGTCCAGCCAGGATGCCAGGCCGGAATACTCCTTCAGCCGAGCTTTGTGGGAGCCATCCTTGACGCAGGCCCGCGGGCCGGTGTCTCGCAGATCTTAAGCATTCTTAAGCTACGTTGCACAAGAAGGCCTTGATTAGGTTCTTGCGGCAAGCTCCCGCAAGCGTCGCATCGCAGGACGAGGTTAAGCCAAAGAGAAACTCCTTCCGCCACCAGACGGCAAGACAGGGGGTTGGGTTGGGGAAGATGCCGCAGAGCATGAGGTCTTCCGGAAGAGCCTTGCTTGCCCCCTCTGAGCCTTGGATTGTTGTCAGAAGATCGAGCATAACCCGAAACCTGAGCGATGTAAACATCCCAAACCCCCCAAACAGGTTCTTTGCTGTAACACCTTACCGAATTCTCAACTTGACCTCTGGATTGATGTTAAAGCTTGTTCAGGGAAGCTGTGGCGTCCCGAGGCTATCCGAAGTTCGACCCCTGGTTCAATCCTGGTCCAGGCTCGCTATACCTCACTGTGGGTGGGGCGACCGGTGCAGGGTTTTGGTGGGTTTCCGTGATTGATGATTGGGGCTTGTGGGTGAGTTATGGCCCAAGCATCCGAGGTTTTTCACAAGTATCCGGAGCTGTCACAACTTCAATTCAAGTCCTGCAGACTTCAAACCAGGAGCCCACACCCAGTACACCGTCTTCGACAGCAGCACTAGCAGTGGCGCACGGCACTGCTCCCAGAGAGCTAGGTTCCAGGATTTGCAATTGCAGTTTGGCAATGTTTTCCGACAATTTCGGAGACCTGAGAAGAATTTCTGAGCAGAAGCGTGCCCGGGGCTTGATTTGTTGTCTTGCAGCGATGCCGGTAGTGGCATTGACTCGTGGGCCGTCGACGAGACTCTGATGTCAGCATACGCGCAGCTTCGCCACTGCCAGCACGCATCGGCAATGTGCCCTTTTGGCTTGACGGCGGTTGGAAATTGCAGGGAGGGGGGCAGGGGTGGGAGGCCACGTCCTACGTCCTGCTTGCGGCCCATCACCCTAGGCCGTAAGGTTTGCCTGGACACCAAGCGTGAGCTCACATGTACAGGTCTCAGCATGCTTCCGTGACCAACAAAGGACCTGACAAACGTTGACACCTAACACCTAAGACCACAAGACCTTGCTCTTCAAGGCTTCGCTGTGACACCCATACCCTACGAGCTAGATGTGTTCCAGTGGAATGTTGTACCTATGAAACACCGTTGATCCAGCTCTCGACACCCTGGATGGTGTTATCACAAAAAAATGCAAATTTGGATCGCCTGGCTTTTAGTGTAACTGGTTTTGCGAACCTTACTTGCTTTAAGTACTCTCGCGTCTGTCTCTTTCCAAAGGCCATTCAAATTCAGCTTCTGCAGAAGGCTGCAAGAAGCTTCAAGACCGGGATGAATAGACTACCGACGCGGGCACTGGCTTCGAGGTTCACGTTTGGTGACAGAGAACACTTCCCAACCTTCTTAGATGAATGTTCTTTTTCAAGATTATCATGTCCATTTCTCAAGTCCGCGTTTTTCACTCGCAGAGAGCCACCGACGCACATGCACACGCCGTTAAGAAGCTTGCGGGAGTTCTTTTTGCAACTTCCTGGTGTTGGGGCAAGAGCGACTTGAGATGACCTTATTCCTGGTACCTCAGGGATTTTAAGGTCCCACCCCTCCCCATCCCCTCTTGAGGTTTCGCTTCAGACGTAAACCCCTGAGCCTAAATCCTTCACAGATTTACTGAGCATGCAATTCCGGAGTGCTAGCTTTCGCCCGCCCTGTTCTCAAGCTGTATAAGACGCTTGTCCGAAAGCTTCGAGCGCCGCTCAGGTAAGGTGACCTGACCTGCCTGGGCCTTGGCCAAAGATGCAAGGAAGCTTTCGGACTTGCATTTCAGGGTGTGGGTTTCGGGCACATTCTGGGGGTCCTAGAAACTGGTGGAGTCGGGCATGTGCCTGTCGATGTTATATGACAGGTGTGTTGAGCACAGGTTGACAATCGTTCTAGCTTCAGGCAAAGAATCCCAGCAGCCTTCCTTCAAAAGACTGAGGCCAGTGAAAGGCCCAGCTGGACTCCTGAAAGCGCTAAGGGCTCTGGGTCGACGTTTCCGACAAAGCCCTGAGGGGGAAACCTACAACGTACTCTTACTCTACAGTTGCTGCAGCGCTTCTTTCTAGTGTTAGAAAGAGCACGGTTGAAAAGCGTGGGCGTGGGAGGGAGACACCACGAAAGCCGTTTCACACATGTTTCAGCGCCGGGTCAAATGCCCCGTGTGCATTCACCGAATGTTTCGATAGCACACTCGTGTAGCGGATGCGGAATAGACAAACTCCGGTGAGACAGCCCGGCGGCTTTCTTGTAGCCTTAAATACTTGTTGAAAGGGCAGGGCCTGTAGATCATCGACAGCCCTGCGAGCATCCATCCAATCGAGTTCAAAGGCCACCGTCGTGGCAGTCGAACGGCACTGGCATGCCACGAGGGCAGGATTTCGGTGACGCAGCTGGTGCAGAATCATTGATTTGTGTAGTAGAAATGTAATTCGACATTTTGTATAGATGTGCTGGAAAGGCTCTCCTTCTCTGCAGCACGCTGGGGGGTTCAAGGGGTGCGGAGCTCCATGAGAGCGGGAGAAGCCCCAAGAATTAGAATCAATTAGTGCCGAACGTAATCCCAATCCAGACTGATTCTGGCTGCGTAGCTGCCTTCAGCCCAGTTGACCATGCAGCGTTAAACATGCTTCCGAGCACCACATGACACAAAAGAACACAGTAGACATAGCCGGCCCACCTAGGATTCACCTGAGAGCTTCATGGCACTGCTTGCCTCCTGGCACCGCGAGCGCGACGTCATCAGCGAGTGCTTTGTGATCGGCACGCCGAGCAGTGGCCGACATTATTTTTTTGAGCGCCTGCGTATTGTTGAAGCTGCAATCCTGTGTTTGGACTGACAGGCTCAGCCCCTACAGTCTTTGGTTTGGGCCCTTTGCAGGCCTCCAGGCTCTATTTCTTTTTTGAGGCTCCGGCTCCAGCCCCTACAGCCTTTAGGTTAATTAGGCCCTCAGGGCCCTGCAGTTTCTCAAAAAATCTGCACCCGCAGGGATTCTTAATCGAGTTTTTGTTTTTGAGTTCCGAGCCTGAGGGATTTCGTTTACATCTGAAGTGGACATTATGGAAACGGATGTTCATGGCGTTGGCCCAGTAGGCCTAGGCTTCTCGCCCTCCATGCCGCTCGCATGTCCCGTTCAACCCTGCCACCGATCTGTGTTGGACCGGAAGGAATGTCGGGCCCGGCACCTATGATCCACGGCTGCCGCCGGCAAAGACATGTAGTCTGGGAATCGGCGACAGGCCGGGCCATGGCGTGCTGGTCGGTAGCAGATCGTAGCAGACAAGGGGAGCAAGCCAAGAGAACTACAAAGTACGTGTCTGAGCCCTTTACCACAGGCCGAGCCTGAGCCGCGACTCACCGGACCTGCCAGGCCCCAGTTGTTTGTTTCTTCAGGATTCCAAGGTGAGCAGCAAGTCAGTGTAGTTGCGAAAGGTTTAGGGCTGGGTGGGTCAGGTGCCATGACTTCCCCAGCCGGTTCAATCTGCGGCACTTTGCATGGCTGTTTGGTTACAGGCTGTATGCATTGACACGCGCAGTAGTCGAAGAAGAGGCTGCGCCGCATCGAAGCTTTGAATGCTTCGAAGCCCTTCCGTACCCAGCAGGTCCAGGACAGTATGCTGTGCGCCGGCTGGCGACGGACGCGATTCCCGATCGGCCGTCACAGTCGCTTACGGCTGCCCGGCCTTGGCTGGAGGAAAAGTTCGGCTTTCTGGGGATATTGGGGACCCTGGACCTTTCCCGCGTCCCCAGTTGTTGCTTGAGTTGCTTGAGGTCGTGTGGCTGATAAGGAGTACGTGGAGGGAGGATCCCTAGAAGTGACCCTCGTCCTACCAACTCGTATACCCCTGTAAACTGTAAATAGTATATACCTATGATTACCTATGCAGAGCCCCAAGTAGCTCCATACATAAGCCCCTGGCGTTCCCTGATAAGGCTCCACCCATAGTCCCGTCACGCAAATTGTCTGAGCTGAACACCTGAAGCCACCCCAGCAATCGCCACCCTGGTAATCTACTAGCCTGAAGCTTTGTCCCGTTTGGGCCACTCGAGCTTGACCTTGAGCTGGAACACTCATCTGCTTCACCTGTGGTGTCCGAGTTTTGAGCGACCTGTCGGACACCTGTCGGACAACAGTCCCAAAACTGAGGCGAGCTGTAGCTCCTTCAACTCCACGACATCGCGATGCGATCCGGAGAACTCACGTGAGCCAACCTTTGTGCCCGGCCAGGGTCCTGGAGGGCTTGGGAGGCTGCGCATTCGGCTTTTGCAGTTTCGACGAATTCTGCTTCTGACTGGAGAAAGGTCGAGAAGTGCTGTTTGCAATCGTGTTTTAAATAGCTCTCACAATTGCTCAGCTAACATCGACCTGCAACCAAGGCTCCGGCTGGTTTGTGGCCTCCACTATCCTCGACAACCCGGGCCCAGGGCAGTCCGACCTACGGGATCCCATGGAACGGAGGCCCAAAACAGGCCCTCGAGCGGGCTTGGGGATCTGGGGATCAAGTCGCCATGCAAAAAGAATCTCGTTAGCCGCCTTTCAAGACCCCAACTCGACGTCAGAAGCTTCATGTTTGGTTAGGGGTTGAAACTTAGAAGTATAGTTTCTGCACGAAATTGGCTTCAAAGAGAGCAGTAAACACTCAGTCTTTGTTGCAAAGCCCGCGTGGATTTCGTCAAATGCCCCTTCTGCGAAAACGCAGGTGGTGTCTACGAGCGCAGCCGGCCCGGAAAGCTGGATTGGGGAGCCGAGCGAGCCGTGCAGGAGCTTGGCACAGGGCTTCACCATCGCGCGCGACAGCCTTCGACTTCCAAGAAATTGCCGGTGTAGAGCTTTGAAGGATTGCAGTGAGCCAAGAGGCGTAGGACTCCCTAGGGGAAGTCCTCGCAGGTGTTCGTTATCCTTTGGAATACGAAAGGTATTGCGCACGGCGTGTCCCAAGAGCCTTCCACTCTTCGCAACATCACGAGCATTGACCGGCTGCAACCAATCGTTTCTGCAGGGGTTGATGCCGTTGTCAGCCCTGTCGTGCTGTGCAGTGTGTGTGTGGGGATTCATGCATAGCTTGCTTTGCACCTTTGAGCGCTAGTCGGCTTACATTTTTCGGGATGCCTTGTGAGTTTTTTACTCATTGGGGTTTGTGACTGTTCGCCCGGTACCTTCGCTTCATCGGAGTTCGTTGGTGTTCATGATCTCTCGTACCATGTCCTTACTTAGTCAATAGTTGAACTTTAAACTTTTTGGGTTTCCTTATTAAGGAGAAATAGTAAAGTTTAACCTTTTTCCCCTTGGTTATTGAAGAAGTAAGTGTCTCACACATGGGCAGGATGTGAAGGAAGGTGTGCGACTACACACGCAGCAGCGCCCTCGGTGTGTGCAGCAGGTGCAGGAAAGATAGGGTCGCTCAAAAGCAGGGAAGCGACGTCACCGATGCTTAGCTTTTTGACGCAAATTGCGGCACCGTTGGTGTCGTCAACTCCAAGGACGGAGCCAGCGATCAAGCCCCTTCGTGCATCTGGGCTGAATTTGATGCCTTGGGCTCCAGTAGGCTAGCTTCAGAGCTTCAGGTGAAACGTCTCCTTTATGACAAGGATAGTGCACTTGACAAGCTGCAATGCTTCTCCAGTATTGATGTTGAAACATGTTTTTAATGAGCTGTATCATGACCATCTAGCTGTTGTTGCCATGAGAAGACTTCCACTCGCCGTCGCCACAACTGTTTGGAATTGTCTCGACACAGCTGCAGGGAGGCTGGAAATTACGCAGTGCCCGGGCTGTGTGACTTTTTGATGGTGAAGTACCAGTACTACCAGTAGGAGGTAGAACTGCCCGGGGGCTTTAACACGAGGGGTTTAGGGTGAACAGTACCGTGCCCTTTGCAGCTCAAAATGTTCGCGTGCGCTCATTTTCTACTTTTTCTGCTTGGCATGCCCAGGATCGTTCTGACTGGAACTTCACTGGTGAGCCAGGGGACACGCCGGACCCGTACAGCAGCTGGTCCTGGAAGGAAGAATGAATGAATGCACATGATTTTTCTTTTTCTGGAAGCAGCCTGGCGACCCTGGCGAATGTGAGTGTTCAGGATAAGTAGCGATTCTGAAAAAGAGCAGAAGTTGGACTTGACCTCAAGGCACACAGAGCCTCGAGATCGGCCGTGGCAAGCGCAAGGTCCACTTTGGCGCGCCCTCGGAGCGCAAGTCGACTTGGGGAGCCCTGGGCGAAAACCCCGACTGACATCTCCAAAGCATGTTCACATGTTTATGTGTGGTTGGAGGTGGCTTGGAGGGCTCTGGGCTTCAACCCGTGATGGCCAAGATCGCACAATCGGGCATAGGGCACCGCTTTCTGTTCCTGGCGGCTCTCTTCACAATCAGCCGGACAGAGAGAAAGAGGGCATGCGCCTTCGTTCTTCTCACCAAGGAAATCCGCATTTGAAGCGGAACCCGGGCCCTGGCACCTACGAGCACGAGCCAGTGAAGGTGGATCCCTGGGTGTGAGCACTGCGGTAACGGGCTTGAGGGTTCCAGGAGTGTTCAAAGTCCCAAAACATCCCAAAACTCATGACCTTGAGTCTGTCAATTGAATGTGGTGAAGTAGCCGACACGCGCACCCCGCGAAGCTGCAGTGACTTTCAATGAGCCCTTACTATAAACCCCATAAGCCTATTTCTGTAAGCCCTGGAACCCTGAACCCGAACCCTTGAAAACGCCCCGAAGCATCCTCAGCCGCCAGCCTAGGACTGCCCCCAACGCCTTCCAGGAGGAGGGGCTTTGGTTTTCTGACGGTTGTGGGGTTTCGACTGGCGCCTGAATTAAGTCATGAGACAGCCAGCAGCCTGCCCAAATGTACCACGTTTCTGGAGTTGGAAGGGTGACTGGGGTTACGGAAAGTCGTCCCAAGACACGAGAAATCCTGAGACGGCTGGAAATCCATTGGCACACCAAATACTTCGCCGCAGTGAGGAGGTTCATAGTCAGCCTGGGGGCATGAGCAATTTTCCGGGGCGGGGGGGGGGGGGGGGGGTCGTTTTGGTTCGCAAATGTTCGCAAAGAGCAAGGTTCTTTTTTTGGCAGTCCTTGGCCAAAACGGAAGCCGGCTTGTTCCGAGTCGTGTGGCCAGCCGCTAGGTACGAAATCCGCTTGATCCTCGCTCTGTAGCCGCCAAGAGTTCCGAGCATGCCGACATATCTGTCCATCTCGCCATCTCATTTCTCTTCCACAGACAACCTCCACTCTGAGCTCTGCTGTCTTCCGTCAAGTGCTGTTTTTGATGTCTTGCACCAGGAACTGGCGGAGGCGGTCCCCCGGTGGAGAAGCCAGGATTCGGCTCCGATGTGCCGTGCCGAGCCCTGAACAAGCGAGGTGTCATTGTTGTTGTCGTTGTCCTTGGCCTGCACAGTCCTGCTGCAACAAGTGCCGTCGTCGGTGTTGTTGTCTTTGTTGTTGCCACTGTCTTGGCCCATATCATGGACGACAGAGTCCCGCTGTGAGCATGTTATTGTCATCGCCGTGGCTATAGCTACAGCCTATAGCTATCGTTATCGCTATTGTCGTAATTGTTGCTTGTAGTTTTGATTCGAAGGCATCGGCACGAGCTCAGCATGAAGAGCTCCCCTCTTCTTAGACATGCTGGTTTGCAGCCCTGTGCCACCCTAGGCACTGTTCCACGGCTTTCGCCTCCAGTAAGCGACACGGCAGAAGCACACGGATTCTTCATGTAGCGGGCACTTGCGACCCTGCACCACAGCCAAGGGTGTCAAGTGCTTCGTTTTGTGGCATTGCAGGGTCCAAGATTTAACGTCTGCTGGTTGGAGGTGAACGCTGAGTTTTTCTGAGCCGCGGGCCCATCGCGGGCCCTTAAACCCGGAAGCCATGAAATGCCATCACTCCAGGGTGCCCACAGCGTTCTTCCCCAAGTCCTTCTCGCCGGCGTTGTTTCCGGGGCCTGCAACGTGCGCTCGAGAAGGGAGTCCAGCAATAAAAGAGTTAAAGGGATGAACTTTGAAGGTTTGGCTAAGGATTAAGGATTCAGGGTTGGATTGCAAAACAGCGGTTCAGAGAGACAGTGCCCGAAATGATGGCACCCCTTGTGGTCAGTGCTTGAAAGCACTGCCTCTGTTCGAATTACTCCAAAAGGGCGATAATGTAGAGGGTTGAGCTCGAATACTGCACTGCCGTGCTGAAACGATCTACGATCTCCAGCGATGTTTTTCATTTCGCATGCGACTTTTTTGTTTGCTGATCTCGCTTGCAACTTTTGCGCGCGAGTGCTGGGCGGGTGGCAAAACCAATCCTTGTCAGCATTTTCCGGGATGGCCGTGTGGTGGACGACGAGGCTGACAAGGCCTGTGTACTGCGCGAGGTGCGGAGGATCTTCTGCCTGAACACTTCTCCAGACACGACTGCGAGTACTGGGAAATTTTGGAGAGTAGCGCCCTTCGTTTGTTGCCGAACGCGCCTGGGTTCAGAGATGGCCTGCGCTTTCGCTCCTGGAGGTTGCTCTTTGATGCAGGGGTGGTTTTTCACTACGCAGCGTGAAGCCTGCTGTTGAAGAGGCTCCGCCCACCCAACGCCCAAGGCCTGAACCTAAACCCTTTAAAATGGACAATCTCAACATCCCCGAATCCAAAACACCCTTAAACATCCCGGAATATTTTCCTGCAAGTAACATGCATCCTGCAGTGCGACTTTCAGTCAGCTGGGCGGGTGGCAAAAGCAAACCCAGAACCCCAACCCCCTAAAACAGGTGAGTTAGCAACCCTTCTCAAGTGGGAGGCACGTCTGGGCATCAGACGGGCCAATCTAGTCGCAGTTGACAGCAGTTTATAGTCACAGGCGAGCAAGGTCTTTTGTCGCAAGTGGGGAAAATTACAGTCGCAAATGAGCAATGAGCAATGTCTGCAGTCGCAAGTGAGTGGCGTCCCCTCCTGGTTGCAGCATATTTTTCTCACGGCCGGTATGTGGGCTGTCAGTGGGGATTGGGTTACATTGACCCCGGCCCTGGGAGGTACTTCGCCGACCCTCCAAATCCAAAGACCGGTGTGGAGCGGTACCTGGGACAAGCACCTTGTGTGTGTGTGTGTGTGTGTGTGTGTTTGAGTGTGTTTGAGTGTGTTTGAGTGTGTTTGAGTGTGGGGGTGGGGGGGCGCGGGGGGGTTGGGTTCGAGAAGTTTGTGGGCAGGGGGATAGGGGATAGGAGAAACGAGCAATCTTGAGCCGTGCCCCGTACCTTGGGCCCGCCTGTGCCAGTTGCTTCCCGTGCCATGGCGTTTTGTGCTTTCATTAGGCCTACGTTGAAGCCCGTCAAAAAACTGTCAAGGCCCCTACGATACTTCGGAACTGTCGCCGACAAAAACATCAGTGCTACATCCCGAAAGCACAAAGTCGCGCAAAACCTTTGGCCTCATCGTCGAATCCCTCAGACCCGAGTTTCAACAATGCAGAGTCAACCCAGGGCCCTGCCGGTCTTCCGCTCGGTGTCAGCGCGCTTTGCCGACACGGCCTGGGGCTCGGCCATGGTTCCGGGGTCTCTGACATGCTTGAGAAGATGGGGGCAAGGATGCCTTGTGAGGTTATGCAGTCGAGCAAAGGCGTGCTCGTTGTATTTTGTTTGGACTGGACTCGACTTGGTGGCGTGGGGTGCAGCTTGATGGGCTCGTAGTCCGTAGCCCCTTGCTTTAGATCATGGGTTGATAGCTGTCTCTCCGGTCAGCCCCGAGCCGACTGCTCTGTCGGGACGTCAGTGTCCCCTTCTTGCATCTTCTTGAAATGGCTTGCGCATACTTGTACTTTGTGTCAGGACAATGGGACACACCCTGGTCCGGGTCACTACCCTAGCTCATCGGACTTTCCGGAGGACAGGATCCGACGTGCCAGGACCGGGGAAGGAGGAAGGGCACTGGGTGCCCTCATGCAGAATTCACGAACTCCGACCGACGTCTCCCAACTTTAGATGTGAAATCATCCCTGGTTGTCGCGTAAACATTGTCTGGACGTCTTGTCACTTCCCACTCCTTGATCACTCGGTTCTTAACCTTAAGCGCTGCTGATTGTTGCTCACCCGCACTCCAGGAGCGTGCCCGATTTCATGAACAGGCTCCTTTGCCAAGCTCAAGTGATTTTTTTCTGTTTGTTCCAGCCTAACAGCAGTACTTGGCCCCCTCACCGCCGCGTAGTCTGACACTGAAACTTGCAGTGCTACTCTGCACCACGCACCCAACGCGATAGTAACTAGTATGCTCAGACGACCCAGGTGCCATAGATCGAGACTCCATACATTGAGATACTCGGCTGTGACCTTTCCGAGTGTGTAGCCGCAATTTCAGGAAGTTCTTCGGGGTGCAGAACCCGAGCCAGCTCAAGTCACTCCGAGAGACCGCTTCTTGGCATCGGCTCCCATCCCTTCACCAGTGGGTTTACATTAAGTTTACATTACATGGGCTTACTTATTGTCACTTGCAGTGTAGTGAAGGGGGAATAAGAATTCGGATGCCTTCGCTTCAGGACTTCCTCAACTCTTTAATACGAAGCTCTTTCGGGAAGGCTCCAGAGGCCTCTCCTTACTTTGACCATCAAACCATATTGTGTGGCTGTTAGCAGTGTGAGCCCGAAAGCCAAGGATGGAGCTGCGCTAGCAGGCTTTGGCTCTCGCAGCCCGCAGCGCCCTATCACGGTGCCTTGGGCCTTTGGGCATCGGAGACGATGGTCGCTGCTGTAGGAAGTCGCTTGCGGCTGTGCTTTTTGTAGCCCTGTTTAGCCCTGCAACCCCCATTGCTACTATTTCCACCACCACCACCACCTCCTCCTCCTCCTCGACGACGGCAACTACTACGACTACTACAACGACTACAACGACTACTACGACTACTACGACTACTACGACTACTACGACTACTACGACTACTACGACTACTACGACTACTACGACTACTACGACTACTACGACGACGACTACGACAACTACGACGACGCCGACGCCTCCGACTACGACGGCGACAACAACAACTACTACTGCTACTGCTGCTGCTGCTACTACTACTACTACACCACTACTACTACTACTACTACTACTACTACTACTACTACTACTACTACTACTACTACTACTACTACTACTACTACTACTACTACTACTACTACTACTACTACTACTACTACTACTACTACTACTACTACTAATACTACTACTACTACTAGTACTACTACTACTACTACTACTACTACTACTACTACTACTACTACTACTACTACTACTACTACTACTACTACTACTACTACTACTACTACTACTACTGACGACGGCGGCGGCGGCGACGACGACGACGACGACCCTACCACTATCACTACCACCACCACCACCGCCACCACCAGCACCACCACCGCCACCGCCGCCACCGCCACCATCACCGCCACCGCCACCGCCGCCACCGCCACCACCGCCGCCGCCGCCGCCGCCACCACCACCACCACCACCACCACCACCACCACCACCACCACCACCACCTCCACCTCCACCTCCACCTCCACCTCCACTACCACTACACAGATTTTGCGAGCTGTTGGCCCTCATGTTGAGGGAAGTCTTCATGTCTGACTTTTTTGGCTGCTGCGAGGTCAGCAAGAGCTCTGCCGCACCAGGCAGCTACGATCCAGAGAGCTCGCTAGGCCTCTTGGACCGCACTGCGCCGAGCCGAAGGCGGCTCCAAGGTACACTGAACGGGATTGGGCAGATGTTTTTGTCCGAAGGCGAGACTGCCCTGAAGCTGTTGCACGCACACATGGCGCGTACGCTAGAGGATCAGAAGAACGAAGTCCAAAGGTGTTGCATTCGGAACAAGCATTGTTGAGCGAAAGCTGCTGGTCAAGCAAAGGCCAGTCCATCTCTGCCAAGCTGCGGCACCTGGCAAAAATCGCACAGGCTGGCCTGACAGATTCTAGTTTTTGTACAGTGGACCTACACAATCAAGAGCTTTCAAGGGGGGGTGGGGGGGGCTAGGCTGGGTGCCAAGTCTCCCTCTGACACCTGGCGCGTTCATGCCATGTAGTGGCAAACAATCATCAGATGCTGTCTTGGCTGCTGAAAGAAATCTCCAGACTGCCTGACTGCCCTCCCACAGCTATATGACAACAGGACAAGCCGAAGTATCCCTGAATGGCCAGGCTGAACCTTGAGCAATAGCAAGCTACCAACTCTGATTCTCACCTTCACACTCTCACACTCTCACGCTCTCTCACGCTCTCTCACGCTCTCATGCTCTCACTCCCTCCCACTCACTCACTCTCTCTCGCTCGGAAGCCCTGTCTTAGAACAGAGTTGCTTGGGAGTCTCTGCCGATGTACTTGAAGTGATGCAGGGCGGCGCTTTCGGCGGCTCGAAGAACGGGGAGCGCTTCTTCCATGGACCCGGGACAGGAGCGCGTCGGTGTAGAGTTGGCCTTCGTGATGTAAGAAGTGAAGCCTTTTGTGGCGTAGCCTTCAGAAGGTTTCAAGACACTAAGAGCTTGAACGTTCCTCCGGCGTGTGCAGGCGACAGTGCCGCACCTGTGCCGGCATCCTCGCTTCCTCATGCGGACACGATGAAGGCCGCCTGGAGTAGTGTACAGCAAGATGCAAGTAGCAAAACTGCTGGATTTAGCGTGCTTGTCACGAAAGCTCGCGTAGCGAAGCTGGAGTTTTATCTGCTTTAGCAGCAGGGGGCCGACCACGGCCAGAAAACAGCGTATTATTGACACTATCTTATTAGGGGGGGGGTGGAGGGGGGGGGGGGGGGGGGGGGGGGTAAATTGATATATCACACGAATTCCTTGGTTTTGGAAGGGGGGAGGGGGGGGGTGGGGGTAAATTGATACATCACACGAATTCCCTGGTTTTGGAGGGGGGGGGGTGGGGGGGGGGGGGTAAATTGATATATCAATACCTTAAGGGGAGGCGTTTTTACGTCAAGACCTGACTCCGTCGCGTGTTGACCGCAGCGCGTGAGTCAGGCTCCCAGCACAACATGCGTCGCCGCCCATTAGATGTGTTGATTGCAACAAGCTAGTTGATTGCAAGAAGCTAGTATCTACCCAACACTGCGACGGCTGAAAAGAAGACGCTGGCCCCTCAAGCATGCCTCCAACTGGGCCCTGCCCGCACTTTCTCTTGCAACTTTGCTCTTGCTTCCGGCCCCCGAGCTTTCGTCCTCCCTGCCTCCGGCCCTCAAGTTAGCATTTGTGGGCTTTTGGTCTTTCGATGTCTTTCGGTCTGGCCGGCATGAGCTCACAAACTTTTGAGTCCTTAAGTCTTTAAACCACACCAAAAGGCTTGCGCAATCTAACCGTTTCCAATTCTGCTATGACATCTTCTGACAAGTTCTGACATAAGAAACGGTCGTGCGGTCCGAAAAACTCTTTTGTCAGTGTGTGAATCACATGGAGCGCAGTTGCTGCTGAGTCCTCGGCTTTCCCAATCCCAACATAAACTTCACCTTGTTTCCGGCATTCTGCGTCGTTGATCGCGGGGATTGCAGTGTTTCTCAGTGGCGGGACATCGCCGTTGTACCCTTGCAACTACAGGGTTTGCATCGTGTATTCGGCCGCGGTATACAGGGCATGTTTGTGGTCCAAAACTCGAGTGTTAAGCGCATTCATGTTTTTTGGGCTTCCGGAAACTACTTGTTTCAGGAGTAGTTTTCTTGGGAGTTATGGAGTGTTGAGGTTTTGGGCTTGCACTCTATGTTCAGGTTTTGGGCTTGCGCTGTACCGCTGCTTTTTGGGGGATGCCCTGAACACCCTACATCCCAAACCCTAAAGCCCCAACAGAGGTAACAGGCTTAGGCCACAGGGGTGTAATTAGGTCAGGGTTTACGGGCAGTTTGGGAGAGATCAGCTGAAGGGGGAAGAGGGCTTTGGGCTTGCACTGCTGTAGGATTTTGCCAGATGTTTTGAGGTTTTGGGCCACTGTCTAGGTTTCGGGTTTGGAAGAGTTGGGCTTAAGGGGGAACAGGGCTTTGGGCTTGCACTGCTGTTGGAGGTTTTGGGCTTGCACTGTCTGGGTTTGGGGTTTGGGACAGTTCGGGTTAAGGGGGAAGAGGGCTTTGGGCTTGCACTGCTGTAGAATTTTGGGCAAGGTGTTTGAGGTTTTGGGTTTCAGGTTTTGGGGGCACTGCTGGTGGAGATTCACAACCCTCCCCCCTCCTCCCCCTTGCCACCCCCCCACGGAAAATAAAATCGGGCACTTCAAGGCCGATGCGCAAAGCAGAAGCCAAGCAACCTTCAACAGGAAACGCAAAAAACCCTGCAAAAAGCCACAAAACAAAGAAGTAGAGCGCGGAAAACAGAAAGTCGAAATTGAAAAAAAGACGAAACAAAGACCAAAACCATAAAAGCACACCACAAAACGGTGAAACATGCAAAAACCCAGGGAAACGGAGACATAGAGTCAAGAAATGAGGAAGGACAAAAGACATAAGTGTAAACCGCAGTTGAAAATCGCGTGCTAGACAAAGTGGAGGAACTGTCGCAAATACCGAGGTAAAAGGCCCAACAAAAACAAGATTCACTGCGGGCGAATACACGCCCCATTCCAACTACAGTACGACGGTCTAAGTGGGGGGGGGGGTGGGGGGTGGGGGGTGGGTGGGGGGACAGATTTTTGTCGGGATATCACTAGTCTGATAAGATCTTTATAAATTCTGTGTTCCAGTGCGAGAAAACTCCTGATATTCTATTGCAAAGCGAAGCGAATAACAGAGCGACGTAAAATAGCAGGGAGTGAATAAAATTAATGAGGCGCGTGGTTTTACGAAGTGAACGAAAATAAGATACTAATGCGCCCATAATAAATATATTGTAAGGGCGCACACATCGTTCTCTCCCAACATAGCCAGGACGCGGGCGATGCTGCCAGGGGCTCGTTCAAGTCCGAGGCCATCACTGGTCGGTTTCCTCGACTCCTTCAAATGCTTCGTGGGGTGTATTCTGCAGCCCAGTGGCCGCGAATAGTCCAGCGGCTTGCGAGGCCAAGCCATCGAAGCAACACAACTCATGGCATGAAACGCACAAAATCCTTGCCCCGACCCGAAGCCCTGAACAAAAGCCCGCTCTCCACCCGCCGGAGGCTCCGAGACTGGTGTCGCAGAGCACGGAGGCCGGCAGCAGCGAAACTTGCCTCGATCCCATGGGCAGCAGATATATCCAGGTATGTGTTGGATGTTGTTTCCTGCTTAAGCCTTCGCAACACTTCTCCAAGCAGCGAGTTCATGTAATGTTTAAAAGCCCCCTGTCCTGGTGACGTTCTCTGACATGTACACCTGCAGAGACTGAAATAAATTGGCACTAGCATTGAGAGGCACTAGCATACAGCTACCGGGCAGGAGCTTCCTGGGCCCGGCTCCTACGATCCCATCACGAACCCGGACTTCCGTGCCGGGTGGAGGCGCGATCGAGCAGGCAAACGCAACATTCTCTAAACCTCAGGAGGCTGAAAGCCGAAACCCGAGCCTTTCAGGATTGCCAAGACAGAGCACGTGGGCTTCGGAGTGAGTGGCGCGCGGTTCGCCAGCCCATGTGGTCGCAACGAGTGGACAGGGAGCGTCGAACTTTGGCCTTAGGATGCTTTAGGGGTTGATGGTGTATGCAAAGAAGGGGCTGAGGAGAGGATTTGGCGTTCTTTGTTGTTTTTTCGGTGGGGGAGGGGTGAGGCCAAAAGCCAGGGATTCAGCCATCGCCAAAATCACTTTACCTGCAGGAGACATGTCAGGGGCGTACACAACTCTACCCGGGGCACAATGGCAAGTTCTAAGTTCTGCGGGCAGTTTTAGCTGTGTCTTGGTTTTTTGGGATTTCTCCTCGCTTGTGAGGTTCGAAGTGGGCTTTCGCGGATGATCACCCTGAAAGTCCCTACGTTCGGTTTTATCGGGGCTGCTGTGGACGATTGACGGCGGAAGTTGGGGAGGGATTGCTGAAACCCATGAGTATCAAAAACTCCGCCAGGCCTACGTTGACGTAGTGAGGGTCCACCTCCATAGCTCAAGCTTACGTGCCCAGCTACGACCTGCGACCCGGAACTGCTGGCATGGTCATTTCTCAAATTGAAAATGAACTCAGAAAGCTACCCTCAAGGCGAGGCAGCCGACGTGCCACCGCCTGGATCGTATGAAGTACTCCCCGAGATCGTCAAAGGCCGATTGTTGAGTCAGTGTCAAGCTGCCAAGAGCAGCCGCACCATGGTTTTTCTATGTTGGTGCTGCAGAGTTCGCGGTAGTGTAGCACGTTTGATAGACATTGCGTGCAATACCGATTGCATGTGAACTCTGTGCCATGACAATAGCCCCGCCATGACAATAGCCCAGCGCTCGCAATCAGCTAGATTGCTGCAAAAACACATGCATGCTGCTAACAGAGTGGTGAACTCACATTGAGGGCGCCCGACCACTATGAGGGAACCCGTGTTTTTTTTTTTTTTTTCCGTGCCTCCTTGTTGTTGGCCCCCGCTACGCGGCCATCGACTGGGCAAGCAAGTCGGGATGCGCAGAGACCAATCAAATTAAGTCAAGGCATTCACTACACAGACAGCAAAACCAACAACGCGTCCCACCAGTCTTCAGCAAAAGAAATTGTAAACAACGGTCCAAAGTGGGGGTCTCAACGGGAGGGTTTGAAGGGTCCAGGGCAGGGGGGCTTGTTCTAGCCTCAGAATATCTTGGATCAGCACTCGACGTGTTCACAACACGAATGGGTGTGTTCGGTGATCCCAATCTTCGACAACCTTCATGGATGGTGTTACATCCACATCATCCTTAAAGAACAACCGCGTCTTGCACATTACTCATCTTTCCATGCAATGCAAATCAAAATTCCGCAAAAACTTATCACATTAATCTCCTCTTCCAAATCCACTACGTCGCATTTGGAAACAAAGTATGCCAAATGATTCGGTACATGAAATGGCACGCAAGTGCGCCAGTCCGTTTCGTTTTTCGGAACCGCCAACATTCGACAAACACACTGACAGGTTTGTCCTTCAGCAAAGACATGTGCCATCTGTGAGCGTGCGAAGTCCGTCGTAACGGCGTCTTCTACTTCTTGACTAGGGATCACGCTGCGAACGCGGGTAGGAAGGTGCACACTCAAGCCTTTTCGATGCGGAGAGCACCAGCGCACCTGAGTCTGTGCATCGGTGTTCAACCTACTCTCATTCTCGACATCAAATCCCCCTCGGACAACGACAAACATTCCCTGAAGTAGCTGCTAGTATCTTGGTCTTGTGGTCCAAGAAGCTGGGACTCCTAGAATCCAACTAGGGTTCAATCTTAAACTTGAAGAGCACCTTTCAGAATCTTATTCATTTTTTTCCCGTGCGTACCGCTGCGTACGTTTTAGACTCAGACTTGAATGAGTCATAATATAGGTCTCTCGCTATATACATATGTATACATACATATATCTATGCATGTACGACTGTTTGTTGTCCCACACCGTGAGTCCGTGAGCTGACGGAGTGAGTGAGCTGGGCCGCAGCAGCATACAAAAACTGCGCTGCACGAACTGCAAACGGCCAGCTTCTGAACAAGATCCTACGACCCAGTTTCTTTCAAGCAGTGGTTCGGGTTTCAGGGATGCTTGAGGGTCGAATACCGGCCAGCTGTGAGCCCGGCCACTGCAACAGCCCGGAAGCAAAAGGGACGGCAAAAGGGACGTTTGAGGTTTCAATGTTGCAAGCCTTGGCCGTTCATGCACGCGACCGGCTAGTCACAAACCCTGGGTTTACGAAGCTTGCGGGTGCCAGGCGGCTGCTACTCCTTCCGATCCACGGAGGCTGCGGAAACTAACTGGTCTGGCTGTTGCCTTTTGGAGCTTCCAGATTTATCTAGCCCAGAGGTAATTCTAGCTTGGAGGTAGCTTTAGCAGTTATGACTTTCTAGCGCTTCTTTGTTTGGGTTAGTCAAAAGCAGGGGGCTGAATGTGCGCATGGCTGGCTATGTGAGGAGCCACCCGGACCATTTTTCACAATCTTCCGTGTAGGCCCAACATTGTAACACCTCGCTGCCACAGCTCAGCATCTGCACAAGGCGCGTGGGTTGCCAATGCCAAAAGTGCCGCTCAAGGGCCTTGATCCAGGCTGCGAGACTGGTTGGCTTTGTGCATCGGTGCTGGCTGGAGCGGGGAAGTTTGGGGCCAGACAAACGGTTAATACTTCGTGCAGACTCGTGCGCTTTCAATCATGAGGGGCGAAATGCAGTGTGGAATTCGAAGATCGGATGTGGCAAAATCGCTTGAAGCTCTGTCGGAGCAACGCCCGCTGGCTGTGCCCCACTTGAAACACCCTGGCGCACTATGCATACCTGAATTGTGCAGGCTCTTACGACGTAGCGAAGAGTTTGGTGCGGAAGACCTTCAACACAAAGGAACCTTGGATTGCAGATAATGATGGCAGCGTGGTACTTGAGATGTCAAGCAGGAAAGGTGTTAACCCTTCAGCCTGCTGCCCCAAAGCCAAATAGCCATCCCCAGCAGGAAAAGGCCGCAAACTTGACAACTTGCGAAACCCTTAGGTGGAGGAAAATGCTCTCCTTCTGCAGACGCCCAGCGACAAGCGCCCGCCTCCACGGGGCCCCTTCCCGTGGGCCGAAGGCCCAAGGGCGGGGGGGGGGGGGGGGGGGGGGGGGGGGGGGGCGAATAGACTGGCCAGAAGGCAAATGTGGAATCTATGTGGGGTCTCGGAAATTGATGCTTTGCCAGGGCAATGAAGGCACAGCTGTTCTCTGTTGCAGGCCTGAGCTAGACGTATGTATCGCTTTTCTCATCTTAGAGGTCTAAATTAGACGCAAGCGCATGGCGTCGGTCACCTCGCCGTTTCCATGCACACTGGCGTCTGTGCCATGGCTGCCACAGGTGACAATAGCCTGCGAGGTACCGCCTGGCCTTGAAGCAAGAAGCACCGAACTCTCGCGCAGTACGCTTAGACTAAACAGCTTCTTAAGTGGGATGCACGCGCGCCGCTTCTCCGTGCAAAGTTGCAGAACAGCCGCGACAGCCTCGAGATTTACTTAAAAGTCGGGAGCAGTACATGCCAGGATCCACCTGGAGGCCGAGACAGGCGCTCGCCACTTGGCGCCTTCTTCAGCTTCCGTTTAGCTTCTTCAATAAGTAAGTTCATGCAATGGCACCATGGTACCAAGCAACCATAGGCCTTAGGCCTGCCTGCTTTCTAGCTTTCTATTTCACTTCTCATGGCGTCACGTACCATGGCAGTTCCTTCCGGAGTTGGAGGATGCCTGTTGCTTTTGTTCTGCCGTTTCAGACTTGGTTTCGGTATTCCTAGATGCACACCTGTAGGTTGCGATCGGCCGTATGCGACCTGGTGCGAGCATGCTTGCCCACTGCTGTTCAATTTTGTACACACTTCCGTACAGCCGGATCAGGGGTCCAAGCATGCATCTGTGCAGCACGATGGATGGCAGAGGGTCCTGCCTGTAGCTGCTTACGCATGCGGCGATGCCACAGCGACTGTTCTACACGGGAAGGTGGAGCTTTGAGCTTCAACACTTTCCAGTCGCGCATCACCTCCAATGACAAATCCGTACAGGCTCTGCAACTTCGCGGCTGACGCAGGGACCAGGATCTACATGAATTCGAGCTGTCGGCCTATGTCGGCCCACCCTTCCCAGATCTTGGCCCCTTGAGCTCAGGATCTATCTCTCTCTCTCTGTCTCTCTCTCTCTCTCTCTCCCTCTCCATTCCTCTCCCTCCCCCCTCGTTGACTGCGCGTGAAAGTAGTTGCCGAACGCTACCAGAACGCTACCAAACGCAAGCCTCTTGACCAAGCTTCCCAGAGCAAGGCACAAGCTGCCTTGGAGGCGGACATGGAGGCAAAGGCTGATGCCAAGTCGGGCTGAGAGCTTCGACTTCGCTTGGCTCCCGAGGTGGGTCGCCGGTCATAGCGGTGCATAGTCCTAGCCCTCCCTTCTGGTAGCATGATGGACAGTGTAGTTGAGAAGGCAGGTGCCGTCTAGGTACTGAAAGTAGGGGTTCTTTGTTTTGAGCCGGTTCGTCACTATGGAATGCGCAACTCGCCTGGTTTAGTAGCAGAGCTCTGGGTGCTAATCTGATTCGGCGGTAGAGGCTAACTTAGGCACAGGCTTGCGTCTTTAGCTGGTAGAGGTTCTGCTCTCATGGGCCGGCGAAAGAAGTTCTGCAACGCACCCGTTGAAATCAGTAGGATGCGCTGTGCTGCCTCCAAAACTGGACAAGCACGCCCGAAGCCATCGCCAGAGCAGCTGCTTTCAATGCATCTCCTTTCCGAAGGAGCATTCACGATACTTTCTGGCAGTGGCAAAGAACATGGAAACGTGAAACCGCTGCCTAAGTTACAGCATAGTGCGAAGACGGAAGACGGCAGCTGCATGGCAAAGCCACGATTTTCATGATTAATTGTTTCATTCGGACCGCTTACGGCCGTATGACGCTGTGCACGCTGTTGCAGAACCAAAGATGGAACAAAGCAAAAGCTCGGCCTTTGTATTGGTGTTGAACATTCGATGGACGATACTTTCTGATGAAGGGTTCTGTCGCCATGCCTGGCATGCCAGCTTCTGCGGACGACATGGTCGCCCCGTGTCAATGTCTCTGTCAGGTTCATGTGCGCGACTACCCCCCAGCCTGCTTTCCAAGAAAGCAGCTGTACCATACTTGTCGCAGGGACCGTGGCATGACAAATGCTGTCTGGGCCAATAATGAAGACCCCAGCAGGCATGTAGCTTAAGCCGTAACCCAAAATACGATAATAAGCAGCCGTGCCCCCAAAAGGTGGGCATGTTGAGCCCAGTCGGAGCATTGGCTGAGTCCACGCTGCCAAGGCTGGCCAGCCTGCTCTTCTGAGAAGGGTTCGTGGGTTACTCCCTGGCAACCGAGTGCCAGCAATGTACACCCGAATGTTTAGGGGTAAAAGAACCAGCACCTTCTCATCCTCACCGTGGCGAGTGCTTGTGGCACAGCGCAACAAGCTCCACCCAGCTTGTCATGTAGGACTGTAGGATATTGTAGGACACCTGAGTGAGCTCAGGGCCGTTGGCTAAAACATACGTCAAAGGCCCAGTTTCAGAAACCTCCTGGCATTTGTGCAATGAGGTGGCAAAAAAATCCTCCTGGGCCGCCGTTGTTTTGAACTATTCCCTCCCTTGCTCGAAGGTTTTGCTCGGTTTTGTCGCTAGACCACTTCCGCGCTGCGTGATGGGCGTTGCAAGCAGGAGGAGATCATTGGGTGGGATCTAGTATGTCAGTAAGTGTTAAGGTGTAAGTGCAAGTGTAACAGTGTGTGTGTGTGTGTGTGTGTGTGTTGCAATCTTGTGAGAAGCCGACAGCACTTGCACACATTACGGGGCCAGTGTGCGGCTCTGAGTCCGGCCAAAGTGCCTTTGTGCAACTGGCCATGGTCTGGGCCTTTGGGGCTTCTTGGGGGACCCGTTTTGATCCCTTGAGTGGAGTTTTCGACAGGGTGTTGTGGCTCAGTTTTGGAGGGTTTCCTTGAGCTCGTTCTGCTGCGACATCTTGGCATGGAAATTCCTTTCAAGGTTTCTTGGGCTACAGATCCTTTCCAGAGGCCCATGCCCAACCGCAATTGGTGTATCGACGCTACTTAGCAGCTACTTGCATGTGTAGCTGAGGGTCAAGAGTCGATAAAGGGTAAGACCAGAGACCGGGCATTGCTGTTGCCAGCTGCAATATTCCCCCGGCCGCTACACTCGCCTACCCGGAACACGCAAACCTTTGCTCTCCTGAGATTGAGAAGCGAGCCGTGCGGTGGTAGACTTTCAAAAGCTTTTCGTGGAGCCCGTAAGGTGCAGCATGTACAACCCGCGTGCTTTTGTAAAATCCTTTTGCTACATCAAAGTCGTACGCTCGAAGCGCGCCTTCCCGACTGCCAAGGCCCTGTGCATGCAGCCGCTGTTGGGTGTCCTGGGCAGCGTCTGCGAGGCCACGGCGCAGCACCTCGGCGGACAGAAGTTGAAGACCTCACGGAGACGTACTCGTAGCAGTCGCAGCAGCTGCTAGCGATGTTTTGCCACGTCTGCCATGTACACCCTGCAAAACCGGTGTTTAGTCGTTTAAGAGTGCCGACCACGGGCGGCCTCGCCGCATCTATTGGCAAAGAGGATCTTGCCCTGAGGGTCAGTTGTCTTGAGAGAGACTCCTGTCGCATGTGCCCTGCATTCAGGGTGGCGGACGCAGAGGCCAGACATGGGCCACACATGGAGACTTGATGGTTTCGTTTGGAGGTCGTCAGGGCCAGAAGACTGCAGGAGGAGGCAGTTTAGGGGACTTTAGGGGATTCAGGACAATGGGCCGTCTGGAGTCATTTCTGTGTGGCCTTTTGCGGATTCGACCAATGCTCCTCTCATGCTGCTCTTGGAGCGACACTGCATCGTCCGGTTGGCTTTAGGCAGGGACCTTAGAGGTTCCAATGGTCTACAGTCTACAGCCGTCGTCAATGGCAGAACCTGACAACGAGGTGGAGCGCCAGGCACAAGCTGCGCCGGAGTACGAGAAGTGGATCGCTGAGGCACTCCAGACTTGAAATCCTACAGGCACATCGATGCAGTGCCGGCGAACAGACCCATGCAGAAATCACACATTATCCCGCATCGGTTTTATTGGGTTCGAGCCGCACAAAAAAAACTCGCAGATCTTGAATTTTTTCGTGACTTTTGTCCTAAGCTGCATGTTCTAAACGGTTATCACTCGTTTATCGAAGCCGCATGCATAGACCGGCTACCAGAATCACAGAACCCCAGCCCGCCAATCTCAAGTCGACCCTCCTCCATGTGGAGGCATTGGCGGATGCTGACTCTGTCGACGGCCCGTTTTGGCTGCCTGGTTTTTGCTGTTTGTGTTGCTGCATTCTTGTGTCACAAGTATTTGTCCTGTTTGAGCACAGTCTACAGAGGCACCCGAGATTTTACGTACTTGCAAGGTGCTACACCTGACTTAAAGAGCTGCCGAACCTCTAAAAGCTCCGATTCAAAATCCCCAGATGAACCTTGATCTGAAATAAATCTGAGGCTGCCATGCGTCCGAGACCAGCGCGATCCGCTAAAGTCCTGCTCAGCCTCCCGCATTCGATAGTGCTGTAAGTTGCTTTCACCATGCGTCTGCCTCATAGCGGGCAAAAAGCGCAAAAAGCACAACTTCTTCTGTCAGGGGCAGAGTTTCGGACAAGGTCAAGGTTTTGTGGTTCAGTTGTGCATGTAATGAGCCGCAACCGACAAGCATGTGACCGGAAGCATAAGTTCTCCCCTCCGGACAGCTAGGTGTTAGCTCGCTTCAAAAGGCTGTTTGTGAGCTTTGCTCCCCAGGCTTCGGCCAACCTCTCCTGGATCATGCAGCACTTCCTGTCACAGCTCTGCCAGGACTCTAGGGCCTCTAAGCTGTGAGATCGGGGCTGGGCTTGTTCTTAAAGTATCAGAGTGCAGGTTCAGGTTTGACCAGTGATGGATTGCCAATCTGAGACTCTACTTGGCTTGGACTTGTATCTCGTAGCTGCGTCGTAGATCACACGGCCTAAACCTTCGAGCCTCCGTTTTTGAAGGACAGCCAGCAAAACAACAAGGAGAACGCGACGCCTCCGAACCAGCCTCGCGACACAGGTCCTGGCGATTCTCTCGTTGGGTTCGATGATGCTCTGCAAATCATCTGAAAATCCGTGTTGATTCAACGAGCACGTCCCTCAGCCTGAAAGGTGCACCATTTTCGAGCGGGCCCCTACGTGCAGCCAAGGCCTCAAGCTGCCAGCGGTCCATTTTGCTCTTGAAAGGTTGCATAGGATTCCGGATCGAGGCAAATCCCCAAACCTCCCCAACGGCCAGTCCACTCAATTACTCAATGTTGCCCCAGGAGGATTCCCCACGGGATGTTGTGGAGCCCTCCGCGCTGCCCGGCTCTCCGCTGAAGCGCCCGCGGACCCGCCCCGGCCCCCAGGACTCTTAGGGCTTAGCTAGCAGCTAGGACAGGAACACGGCCAAGGCGCCCCAGGATGCCCTCCTCGAGCCCCTACTAAAGCAGAGTCCTCGAGAGTTCAGGGGGGCAGTATGCATAAAATCTACGTTGCACTCAGAAGCCGTGGTCTCTCGGTGCCAGGATTTCGCGAGCCCGCTGGTAGAGCGCATTGCCAAGGACAGGCTGCCGAAGCATTCAGGGTGTCAGGGTGTTCAAAAGCAGTACCGAACTTTGAGCATCTCCGACAGCAGGGCTAGGAGCCCTGTGTAAATCCGTAAAACCCCAAGCCTCCCCTTGCTAAGAGGCTCCCTCGCCAATCAGAGCACTTCAGCTGGGACCACGTCCAGGCAATGCATGTTTCTAAGGTGCAGTAGTTGTTTGGGAGGTGTTGGCACGTGCAGCAATGCTGAGAGGCAGTTACAAAATACCATTTGCCTTAGAAGTTTACCAGCGCGGCTGACAAAGTCAGTGAGCAGATAGTCCAGCAGGCACACCTTGCCCAGTTGACGAAGAAGCCGGAGGCAAATCAACGATTGCCAACTGTTGGGAAGATCCGGGAAGCTTTCTGATCTTTCTGTCGTTGGCAGGGAGTTCCTTTCCTCTGCATGTAGAAAGGTGAATAGTGAGGACATGTACATCATTGTACACCCAAAAGCAACTCAGCCTTTCAAGCTGCCGCTAGCAAAGGCAGCGCTCGCAATTGCACGCTGCCACCTGGGCCCTAAACCCGTGATTGAGAAGCGTGGGTTTGCAAGCTGCTCCTCTTCTTCAATGCTTCAGGAGTGATGCTCCAGCTCTGTGACATCTAACCATTCCGGAAGCTTATGACTGCCAGGCCAATCTCTGCCAGTACCCGCGTCAGAGACTCCAGCGACAGAACGGGCGGCAGCCCGGCACACTGTAACTTGGGTCTTTGGGGTTTGCATGTTTGGGCCCTGGGCCTACCACACAAACTCCCCTCCAGAGGGCTTCGTGGCTTCGGACCTTGGGAAATCATGCAAGCCCACCCAGGTCATTGTTTAAGAGTTGACAGTGGATCGTACTGCATTCGTCAGGTTCGCCAGCAATTGCACGTGATAGGGTTTGACGCGTGCACAGATCCCCAGGCTCCCGTCGGCTCCAACTTCCAAGATTATCTGGCGAACCAAGTTGCTGCGCACTCTATCCAAAGCGTCTGCTCAGAGAGGAAAAGATTTGCCACAACGGTGGCCAGCGCTACTTGCGATGTGTGAATCTCAAACCTCCGCTTTATATACGCCCATGAGCCAAAGTCAGAACGCTCATGGCTGCCAACAGCAACTCTCGTTTCAAGCTTTTCTACACTAACCCCGATCTCAGCTGAATGCCGACGTGCAAAATCAGAGGCCTCCAGCTCTCCGGCCAAGCCGCCACCACGCGCGTTGCCTTCGCTGCCCCCAACTCCGGCTGAGAGGTTGGATCTCGAGTTTCAAGAGGCTGCTTTACCACATGTCACTATGTGGTGTGGGGTGTGTGGATGTGTGTGGATATGTGTGAATATGTGTGACGATGTGTGAATAGATGTGTGAATCTCTAATATATATATATATATATATATATATACATGATATGTATACGTGAGCATGAGCGTGTGCGTGAGCGTGAGCGTGTGCTCTGTGTGTGTGTGTGTGTGTGTGTGTGTGTGTGTGTGTGTGTGAGTGTGAGTGTGTGTGTGTGTGTGTGTGTGAGCTTGAGCGTGAGCGTGAGCGTGAGCGTGTGCGTGTGCGTGTGCGTGTGCTTGTGCTTGTGCGCGTGTGCGTGCGCGCGCGCGCGCGCGGATGTGTGTGTGTGTGTGTGTGTGTGAGTGAGTGTGAGTGCGAGTGTGAGTGTGAGTGTGGGTCTGGATGTGGGTGTGGGTGTGTGGGTGTGTGTGGGTGTGTGTGTGTGTGTGTCTGCATGATGAAACCTCTGGGTGGGTGAGTGTGTGTGTGCGTGTCTTGGGTTATTCTTTGTGTTGAGTTGTAATGCAATGTAGCGCTATGTGATTGAAGGCAAGGCAAGGCAACATGTACAAGCACACACAAAGAGCGTAATGCAATGTCGCTATGTAACTCTGAGTAACACTCAATCATAGTGTGCTTGTGCGTGTAATTATGCATGTATGTATGTAATATTATTATTGTTATTGTTAAGTTAAGTTATGATCATATTTATGTATGTACCTATACACGCACATTTAATGTAGATGGGTAGGCAGGTGTAGATGCCGTCAGGCGTACGTGTCTGTATGTGCGCGCGTTAATCTGTGTGTTTATGCATGTGCAAGCATACAAATCGCAGGCAGAACATCACACTCAAGAGCAAACCCCAAACCCTGCGAAAGCGAGAGCGGGCATCAAAAAACCTTACGAGAGCCTAGAAGCCCTAGACAACCCGATTAAACCCCCAAAGAATGAAAGGAACCTCCCTGGAGGCCCGTGGCCACGGTCGTTGCGGCACAAAGAGCTGGGCCTGCAGCCCCCGCAGCGCTGGCCCAGGAGGGATGCGAAGGCTTAGCATGGTTGCTTTGGGGCCTTCAACTCAGGGGGCCTGGGCTGAAGCTGGGAGTCTTGCGAGCTCCCAGATTTTAAACTAATCAATTTTGCATGAAGTGCGCCCCTCATATGCTTTTTGCGCACGGAACTTCGCGACAAATGACCCAGGCGAAAGTGCGATTTGACGTCCGCTGCGCATCAATGTTTGGGATGGTTGTAAGGGCGTGCTTGCAGGGCTCACGTGGAGACACTGAGAGGGTCATGTTTCGCGAGTTGAAATGCGAACGAAGACGAGAGCGACCGGGTCTGCAGGAAACACCGAGAGGGCCAATCGGATTCACATTTCCAGGTCCTGCAAATGGGGCTTTCGCCTCGGTTCGCATGGTCTTTGTGAAAGACCTCTCGTTGCTTTGGGCCCCCGCAGTCTTGGAAGTCTTGAAAAGTGCTCGCAGAGTGGTCTTGGACTGCCTTGATGATTGGGGTCATCTTGGAGCACTCTGAGCATCTCACTTCGGGCTTCAGGGCCAGTCCAGCCAGTTCAGCCAAGACCAAAGAGAGAGAGAGAGAGAGTCAAGGCTTGAGGTCCGATTGGCAACTCAGCGTTTGGGATCGCGGTGGGTTCGTTGGAATTGCTGTGGCTGCTTGAGTAGAGACCAGCTCGAGCAAAGCGGTGAACAAAGCGAGTCAGAACCCCAATAGGACTCCACCATCGAGCCGACCGACGCTTGGCCGATAAGGTTTACGAACTCAGCGCTTTACTATGCCAGGCCCTTGCTGCGGTAGGGCGACAGGTCAGTGCAAGACGCGACTGATGAGCACACAGGAGGTGCTGGAGGAAGAACCGATCACGCAGGGCAAGTGGCTGCCCAAGAGGGGCGACGCCACTGTGGACTTGTCTGGGTTGAACCTGTCTGAAATGGGTGATGAGATGGGAGCCGAAGCTTCCTGATGCTGAGCATTTGTAGCTTTGACGGCCAAGAGAACCAGGGTGTTTTGCTGGGCGTTGTCAGATAATGTATGCATGTTGCTGGTGATGACGTTGTGGGAGGTTAGTGGTTTGACACAGTGTCCAGAGCGTGGTTTCACGACGAAGGTGTCTTTGCCTCTGAATGCCAGGCTTGCTTAAAGGAGTGAGCCGCAAGCCAGCGACAGCTAAACCGGAAGCACAAAGGGGTTTGTTAACATGCCCAACCCGTTCACATCCCATTCTTCCCGAGGAAGAGATCCACTTGCCGAGCCGGCCTGCCATTTCAATGGCGGAGTGGAAGTCCAAGGCCGTGTCGGGTTTGTGTAGCAGGCGAGCAATACGTAGCAGGTATGTGAGTTCGATTGAGTTCGTTTCTCGCTTCGTAGGTTTTTAGGAAGACGAAGAGCCCAAGCCGGAAAGGGGTCTCTAGGGGGCGTCCAGCCCATATAAGCCTGAATCGCCGAAGCAAGTGCATAGTTCCGTCTTAAACCCGCAGCATCCCGCAACCCAAAACCGATAGGCCTGAGAACAGACGCCTGGCCTACCTGAACCAAAGACAAGAAAATGTAAGAAGATTGACTCCTCGCACCCATGAAACAACGCTGTCCAGGCCTTGTTCGCGGTGCCGCCCGAGTCGCCGAAGGAAGCCAAGGCTCGAAGCAGGCCTGGACGCTGGCTCGAGTGAGGGAGGGTTCAGGCTTTTTTTTGGGTCAGGGGGCTTTGGGCTTATTGGTGGCTGAGGGGAGTCTCTGGGATGCTAAATGATCACTGTCTCGAGGGCCATCTGCTCCAAGCCCTTTTTGATTCTGTGTTTCCCTCTGACCAGGCTCCGACCCCCAGCCAGCGGCCAGCAAGCGTTGCGCAAGGAGCGCCAGCCAGGGGAGACCCAGGCGGGACCGGCTTTGCCAGGGTATGCCAGGAATGTGAGATGATGTGATCTGCACAGAGTCTTGAGATTTCCTGAGCGTTTCTGGAGCAGGGTCCACTGCACCTTCTTGAAAAGTTCAGGTGGAGAAGACCAGCCCGGATCGCAAGGACCAGCAGCCTGGCCCCGTTTGCAAGGTCTCGGATGCGTTGGGGGATGTTGGAGCACGTTTGGGGTCTAGGAGTGATCGGCAGTTTCAGGTTTCGTAGGCTTAGCAGTAGCAGGGCGGCCAGGGTCCAGGGAATCTTGAAGATTTAGCTGTGAAGCCTGCCGAGGGGGCCCGAAAGCTCCCAATAAACAGCGAAAGCTGAAGCAATCCTGAGCTGAGGTCGACTCCCATCAAGGTCGCGGACCGCATCATGATGTTCGAGATGCTCAAGACCTGGACCCCGCAGACAGAGAATCTTGCATGCATCTAGATAGATCATATAGAAGGTTCGGGATGATTTGGGACAGTGGCTTAAGTTTTGGTGACGAGGAAGGCCCAATGCAACAGAGTTCCGCCCTCCCCCCAGGAAAGCAAACTGACTCGTGCCTCCTTGTGCCAGTTGAAGCAGCTGTTCACACTGAGATGGTTCTGCAGATCCCAATGTTACTGTAGTGCCCTCCATACTGCACCACACAGTCTAGGGCCGCGGCCAGCAATGAGAGCGCCAAGCCTGCGTGCCCAATTGCACATCAGTCTCAGGAAGAGTATCTCGCCAGCTGTTCAGTGCAGCAAAGCTGGGACAGCGACTTCGAAGCACTGCGCAAGCCCTTGCCGGGTTTTGGGACTTCACAGGTGTGGCAGGCTCGCAGAAGTTTGGCTATTGGCTCTCTACAGTCTGTGTTGGGTTGAGGGTTTTGAATACCAGTTAAAGAGACTGGGCCGAGCGAATCTCCTCTGCAACTGCAGTAGTGCAGCCGGGGAACTCTTATAGAGCACGGGATCACTCCCGGCTTCTGCTAATCTAGCTCAGGCGTCCTCGGCACCAAGGATGCTCAAACCACCAAGCAGTTTGACTCGAGGCCGGCACTACACAAGATCCGGAAAGCCCTTCAACTAAAGCAACACCTGAGGACCTTCTTGTGTCTTGTGTTGCGCTGTCGCACGAGAGACAGCCCCAAGAAATGCCCAATCGGCTTCAAAGAGGGGCAGGCTCAAGAATGTGAAGAATGTGAGAAGAATGCGTAGGGTTGTGTAGGGTTGAGGGGAGTTGTTGGTCTGAGCCTGCCAGGGTTCTCCTGTAGATGATGTGGTCGGACGGGAAGGCAGAGAAACGGGTTCAACTACTCAAGGAAATCATGGGACCGAAGCTCTCACGTCACTGTTTTGGACATTTAGTGACTCTCCGACAGACCTGAAGGGTTTGTCAGCTTGTCACCACGGAGCCAGATCTTCAAGAACTTGCTGAACAAGAGCCACTGTGCCTGACCCCAGCAGGCAGCGCCAGCACGGACCGCGGCTCCGCAAGCAGCGTTGCAGTCTCCCTCTCAGAGGAAGTGGGCTTGCAGAGCCAGGGTGTGCCCACATCCCACACCTCGAGTCCTCCGAGAAGATGTGATTGTTTCGGTGAATGTGAAACTGTCCAGTCTATTTGGGTTCCAAAAGGCGACAAACATGCTAACCGACAAACTAGCCCCTTTCAGCCTCAAAGCGCCCAAGCCCATGAAGGACCACGACCGTACAACCATTCTCCTCAAGAAGCCCTTTTTGGAACAATCCACCCCATGGGCCAATCCGACAAGCCTGAACCCCACATGAAACAGATGTTTGTTGGGAATTGAGTGAAGCTTTTTGCCTGCTTCGTCTCGAGAGTCCTCGTACCGACGACAGTTCCCGAAACCGCCAGGTCATGCCTTGTGCAAAAAGCCCAAATCGCTGGCCTTGAGTGCACAGTCCGAGATCATGTCTGTAAACTTGAAGCTGAGTGTTGAGGCGTCTCGGATCAAGAACAAAATAAGCAATGAAAAGCCGAACATGCTACTTTCTTCAATCACCAAGATAAGAGGTCTGTTAGCAGTGGTTGTATCGGTGTTCGCTCTGCCCCCGCTTTAGGGATGACACGCGTTGTGTCGATGAGCTCTGTCGCAATCAGGCAATCTCATTGTAAGGTCTACAAAAATTCTGCACACTTTCAGGCTAGTGGCTGCGGTAACTCTTGATCAATCCCCTCCGTCAATCCCCTCTGCTAGCCACGAGTTCTGTCATCACACGCTGGAGACGATGCTGGATGACTTCGTGGGCAGTGCAGGTGATTTCTGCTACCTCTGGTGAGCAGGCAGGCAGTGCTGTCGAGGCTCTAAGAAATCCTGAGACTATCTCTTGGGCTTTGAGAAGTGCTCAGGTGGGTAACTATGAAGTGCCTCCACCGCCAGCTGGACTTTCGTCCTTGTGCGGGAAGATCGCAAAGCAGAAAGGCATTAGTGCAAACCAGGTGGGGGTCCTTTTCTCATCTTAGAGTCTTAGGTAAGATGGCGGTCTAGCAGCACCCCCCCCCCCCTGCCCCCTTGGAGTAAATCAGGTCAAGTTGCTGCACGAAAATGCCATGGTAACACGATGGACGCCCTCAGCATCTTTGGCCGTGCCTCCTCCCACGCTTCAACTTCTGGTCGTTCCTCCGGAACATGCTTCCCGTATCCAAAGCGCGGAAGACCTTCTCAGTATGCTTGCGACGTATCCCTACCCCCAGAGGATCAATCAGATCAGCAGCATAGACTGGAGCGTCATTGGCCTGGACGTATCGCAGGTGCTGGCCAGAACCCTTGATGCGACAATTCAACGAAACTATCACAATCAAGTGAGCTTGCTTCTAGACAAGCGGGCCGAGGTCAATAGACAGAATGAGGTGGCACAGCCGCTTTGTGCAGCAGTAGCGCTTAATCATGTGGATACGGTGAGGGTGCTCCTAGATGCGAAAGCAAGCACGAGCTGCACGGATGAAGACGGCAGGACAGTTCTGCAGATCGCCGCTGCGGCAGGTATGAGTGCCATCGTCGGCATGCTGCTCGCGCATGGGGCCATCGTCAATAGACCGGAAGACACCGAAACTCCCCTCCATGGTGCGGCTGCTGCCGGCCACTTGCCCACGGTACATCTGCTGCTTTCTGCCCTTGCAGAAGTGAATCGGACAGGTAGAGGTGGGAGGGCAGCGCTGCACTTTGCGGCTGTATCTGGTGCCGGTGATGTTGTGGCAGCCTTAATACAGGCAAGAGCAGAGATCCATCAACAAGATCGGAACCGCAAGGAAGCCCTGCAGTACGCAGTTTCTAGCGACGAGGTTTCCTCGGTAGCCTCGTTGCTCAAAGCCGGTGCCGCCGGTGCAGAACTGAAGATCCGGGGTCGGATGCCATTGCTCCACTACGCACTGGTCGCAAGCACGGAAGAGATGGTGAAATATGTTTTGGAGCAGCGCGCAGACCTTTGCACAGTTGATCTCAAAGGTCGCGTGCCCATTTTGGTGGCCGCTGCAAGGTCGGATCCCAGCTTCGTGAAGCTGATTTGCCAGCGCGCGGTGCAGAGCAAGGAGGACATTGACCTCGCCTTGCACGTGGCAGCTGAGAAAGGCAATGCCGGAGTTGTGCAGGTCTTGCTCCAGAAGCGTGCAGATCCTACCGCCCGAGTTGCTGAGACAACCGCTTTACATTTGGCGGCAGTCGGAGGTTACGACGTGGTCATCCGCGAGCTGCTGCACGCTAAGGCAGACTGCAGGTCCAAGGATGGCAAGTCTCGACTCCCATGGGATGTCTGCAAGAGCAGGAAGAACTTGGCTTTGGCAGAGCTGCTCAGGCCTGTGAGGTGAGCCACTTCCTTGACTTCGGCGCCAAAATGTTGGCCAGACAGCCAAAACCCCAAAGCCTTTGCAGCGATTCCCCCTTGCGTGCTCGAATCGTGAGACACACCCTGTGCTGAAGCCATATGACGAACCCCAGAAGCCCGAAACCGAACCTATAATAAAGGGTCCAGCAGGCCCTCACACCGCATCCCAATGCCCGACCCTAAAGACCCAGGTGGACGGCAGTTCCCTCTTCACTCCAGTGCAGCACGCATGGGCGCGTGATGTGAAGCCCAAGGCCCTCTATGGAATCCAAAGCCGTGGGCACTTCAAATTTTTGGTATCGTAAAGCAACCTAGCAGAATTCTAGGGCCGAGGGAGACGGGATACTTGCGGCTTAGGATCTCAAGTGGAGGTTGCATGAAGTATGGTCCATATATGTAGCAAGTGAAGGAGCTCTTCCGCCACTCTGACCTTGCACCAACGCGGCCGCCCCTGGCGAAGGGTGCACGTAAGCCTGGCAGCTCGGTGCCTTCAAGGAAGCAGCGGTTTATTTTTCTTCTTGGACGTGACTTAAGTAGGTCAGAAGCATTTGCGCCGGCTTCAAGGCTTTGAGCTCTCGATGTAGTAGTTTGCCACAGGGCTTTGGAACGGGAAGCTGCGGCAAGTGCTTACTCACAGGATTGCAGGGGCCCAACCTGCGTTTGACCCATGAACCGAGTTGTTCTTTCAGTTGGCTTCCGGGATTCTGGATGTAGGTTCCAGAGAAGCTTTCAGCAGAGGTTAGGCTGTCTAGGTTTAGGGGAACTTGGCGACCAGTGAGACTGCGTTAGGGCCAGGGACGACCTTTGGTTTGGCCAGCTTCTTGTCATGTCATGTCTGATCTCTTGTTTGTGGCATCATTGGCATCTTAACCTTCAGTCGAGAGCGCCTTTCTCATGGCATAGTGACACCTTGTGACACCTTGTGAAAGCCTGACCAGAAGCGACGTTTGGCGACCTAGGACCCACCACAGCGTTCGGCAGCACAGTGCCGTCCATTCCGGCCAAGCACGTCGTGGCCGCTTTTGACAGAAGTTGCGCAGCGTTCTGGGGGATGTTTTGGCTTGGAAAATGCTTGAGGGCTCGCGGGGCCCCAAAGGCTCTAAGACATTGGAGTCAACAGTGGGTTTGCCCAATCTCCACTGCCCAAAATGAATGGGATAGAATCCGGATAGAAACTGAAAGATACGTTACGGACCAAGTGCGACTCGTCAGAACTACCGTGCTGCCACATTGGCACTTTTGAGGCAACTGCTGCGCATCCTGCTAGCGCACGCCCCTTGATTGCAGCTCTTAGTAGGTTTTTCAGTTTTTTCTGCAGAAGAATTACATAGACAGTTTACACATGTTGAGATATTGTCGTGCGAGGGGTTTCGTAGCAGCACGGTGGTCAAAGCCGCTGTGAGCGCAATTTTTCCCCAGCTCCCCACGCCCATTTCAGGAGCCAATTCAAGGGTTGAAGATGTGTATAGGGCTTAGAGATGTTGAGAGTTGAGGGCCTTTGAGGGGGGTCTTCAGCAAAAGCCAGGCTCCACGGAGGGCGAGCCTCCGGAAAGCGCGCGGAGCACCGAGGCTTTCGAACGGCTGGCTCTTGGCCAGAAGCGCCCCTTGGGCTTTGGACGTTGCAAGGTTTGCAGAGAATGCTTTGCAGGACAATGAATGCAAGAGGCGGACTGGACAGACAATTCCTTGTGATTACAGAGCTGAACTTCAGTGCAAGCACCACATCACCAAGTGAGAGTTCGCAGCCAAAGCACTTGGATGGGTTTGGGTGGATTGCCATCAACGAAGAAGCATCCCAAAAGTAGATACTGTAAGGAGAGGACATCGCGAAGCCAAAGTCTCTGCGTGCGGCAGAACAGGCTCGACCGAAACATAACTCCGCAACGAAATCAAATTAAACAAAGGGATGTATAAACATATATATATATATATTACACATACATATACAGATATACACATATTTTTTTATGTCAAAGGATCAGTTGTGTGTGCAGCGCGAGTTGCAAGAAAAAACTGGCTTTCTTTGCAGCAGCCCAGAATTCGTGCAGGTTTTCATGCACGAAAGGTTTTTTTTTGCGCATGCTCTGGAAGCCGATCAGTTTTCTGCAAGCACCTGGCTTCCAGCAGCATCAAGTGAGCAGGATAAGGCTTTGGGGATTTTGTCGGGCCTTGGCAGAGGGTGCATGGCCTCAACTGGCGGCCCGCGGTCTCAATCCGCCTAGATCCGTGTGGGGGTTTGTGAATAGGTCGTACAGGACGATCCGAGACCTTCTGAAGCCACTCCCGTCAGCTACGCAGTCTAAACCATAGCAGAGGGACTTAGAAAAGGGGTCCAGAAACATGCTTGCGAAGCCTGTTGCCATGTCGAACTGTCTTGGCGCAGGCCAAGCAGGCAGAGGAGAGACGCCTCAAAGAAAGGCAAGAGCGCGAGCAGGCAGGTTCCTTGAGATGTTTTTGGGCCACATCAAGGGGACCGATTCCTTAAGTTCAGAGCTCCACCGGCGCAACGGTCCTTACGCAATTGACATCAAGGCCCACCCAAACAATCCGACAGTGCATCTTCTCAATCTCCTTCAGCGAGCTAAGCTGCTTCTCAGAAACAGTTCTGCTGTCATGAGGAGCGCGAGCGCGCGCGCATCGCCGCTGCCCAGGCTGCTGCAGCACAAGCGGCACAGGAGCCGAGCAAGAGGTAGAAATAAATAGAAAGCAATGCTTTTGGGGGGTTCAAGAAGACCTACGAGCAAGTCGCAGAAACCTAATTGCGCTTGAACGTATGATCGGGAAGCCACAAGGCACAAGATGGGCAGGAGTACTTTAGTCAGTCTGAGTTGAAAAATCGTGTCCAGACTTCGAGCCTGCGTGCTTCCTGCGGCTTGATTCGAGGCTTGGTTGGGCATCCGTTTACCATGCCTTAAATGGTCTCGCAAAAAAATTCTGGAGAAACCTCGAGGGTGGCAAGCCTCGCGATAGCTGTCAGGAGGCTCGGGCAAAGGCTGCCGCTGCGGCTCAAGGCATCATTGGCTGATCGTGCCTAGAAGCATGGTCTGCCATGTTTTGAAAGGAATAGCCACGCAAGCAGCCAAGCCCCCGTGCGCAATTTGTGCTTCGGGAGGAGCGACGTCCTGTCAAGTGACTGCAGCTAATGGAGCTGTCCTGGCGATGTACTGAAGATCCCAAAATCATTCGTTGACACTCCCGCGCCGAACTCCAAAATCCCAAATTCTCAGTTGCCTCCAGAGCAAACCCGCGTTGCAAGGCCCGGGGCCCAAGGGCGGCGTCGCCCAGAAGAGCCCCAGGCCTTGGGGCTTCGGGGTGTGCTGCTGCACAGGCATTAGGGGACCCTGGATGGCCTGCCACCCAACTCAGTAGCAAACTGGGGAGGCTCTCCAATGAGCAGTTGCAGCACTTGCACTCTCCGGGATTCGCCCGCCATGCCTCTGTGCTCACCTCGGAATTGCTTCTGTCGGGCTAGTCACAACTTCGAGCAGCCATGGACATGCAGGTTTTGTGCAGCGTGGCTTCGGCAACTGGCATGTGTCTCTGTGTGTGTGTGTGTGTTTACGGTCCAGGGTGCATGAAGTCTGGGTGCCGTTAAAAGTTCCACCGGTTCTGTCAGGCAGCATGCAGATGCCTTGCTCTCCGGCCGAGGCACCAGCCCTACCTTTGCAGGAACGTCCCGTGCAGGTGGAGACGGTTTCTTGCCGCAAGATGGCCAACTGCCGCTATGCGCTTGTTTTATCCCCCGCGGGAGTTTTCACCCGAGCTATTGGACTGAATCTCGCCTTGCTGATGGGTAAAGTAGCACTGCTAGTAGCACGGCTACAGCATCAGCTATCATCTGGCTTTGGATATCAAATCGGTCGCCAGCCAGCAATCTCAGCAGTCCACTTCCACATGCTCTGCACTCAAAGGTGGAGGACCACCAGCTGAAAAGGATGCCCTCCGTGCCGCTGTTCCGCGAGCCCTACCTGGAACTGCGAAACATCACCCTGTCGCCAAAGCATCCTGGCAGCTACCAGTAAGGAGCTTGTGAGCTTCAGCTTTCAGCTCTGCCCTAGAGTCGGGGGTGCGCTTCCAAGCGCAGGAACGTGCCTTGAGTATTCTACCGGTAGAGCGAGAGAGAGAGAGACAAGAGACAAGAGACAAGAGACAAGAGACAAGAGACAAGAGACAAGAGACAAGAGACAAGAGACAAGAGACAAGAGACAAGAGACAAGAGACAAGAGACAAGAGACAAGAGACAAGAGACAAGAGACAAGAGACAAGAGACAAGAGACAAGAGACAAGAGACAAGAGACAAGAGACAAGAGACAAGAGACAAGAGACAAGAGACAAGAGACAAGAGACAAGAGACAAGAGACAAGAGACAAGAGACAAGAGACAAGAGACAAGAGACAAGAGACAAGAGACAAGAGACAAGAGACAAGAGACAAGAGACAAGAGACAAGACAAGAGACAAGAGACAAGAGACAAGAGACAAGAGACAAGAGACAAGAGACAAGAGACAAGAGACAAGAGACAAGAGACAAGAGACAAGAGACAAGAGACAAGAGACAAGAGACAAGAGACAAGAGACAAGAGACAAGAGACAAGAGACAAGAGACAAGAGACAAGAGACAAGAGACAAGAGACAAGAGACAAGAGACAAGAGACAAGAGACAAGAGACAAGAGACAAGAGACAAGAGACAAGAGACAAGAGACAAGAGACAAGAGACAAGAGACAAGAGACAAGAGACAAGAGACAAGAGACAAGAGACAAGAGACAAGAGACAAGAGACAAGAGACAAGAGACAAGAGACAAGAGACAAGAGACAAGAGACAAGAGACAAGAGACAAGAGACAAGAGACACAAGAGACAAGAGACAAGAGACAAGAGACAAGAGACAAGAGACAAGAGACAAGAGACAAGAGACAAGAGACAAGAGACAAGAGACAAGAGACAAGAGACAAGAGACAAGAGACAAGAGACAAGAGCCAAGAGACAAGAGACAAGAGACAAGAGACAAGAGACAAGAGACAAGAGACAAGAGACAAGAGACAAGAGACAAGAGACAAGAGACAAGAGACAAGAGAGATACAAGAGACAAGAGACAAGAGACAAGAGACAAGAGACAAGAGACAAGAGACAAGAGACAATAGACAAGAGACAAGAGACAAGAGACAAGAGACAAGAGACAAGAGACAAGAGACAAGAGACAAGAGACAAGAGACAAGAGACAAGAGACAAGAGACAAGAGACAAGAGACAAGAGACAAGAGACAAGAGACAAGCGACAAGAGACAAGAGACAAGAGACAAGAGACAAGAGACAAGAGACAAGAGACAAGAGACAAGAGACAAGAGACAAGAAACAAGAGACAAGAGACAAGAGACAAGAGACAAGAGACAAGAGACAAGAGACAAGAGACAAGAGACAAGAGACAAGAGAAAAGAGACAAGAGACAAGAGACAAGAGACAAGAGACAAGAGACAAGAGACAAGAGACAAGAGACAAGAGACAAGAGACAAGAGACAAGAGACAAGAGACAAGAGACAAGAGACAAGAGACAAGAGACAAGAGACAAGAGACAAGAGACAAGAGACAAGAGACAAGAGACAAGAGACAAGAGACAAGAGACAAGAGACAAGAGACAAGAGACAAGAGACAAGAGACAAGAGACAAGAGACAAGAGACAAGAGACAAGAGACAAGAGACAAGAGACAAGAGACAAGAGACAAGAGACAAGAGACAAGAGACAAGAGACAAGAGACAAGAGACAAGAGACAAGAGACAAGAGACAAGAGACAAGAGACAAGAGACAAGAGACAAGAGACAAGAGACAAGAGACAAGAGACAAGAGACAAGAGACAAGAGACAAGAGACAAGAGACAAGAGACAAGAGACAAGAGACAAGAGACAAGAGACAAGAGACAAGAGACAAGAGACAAGAGACAAGAGACAAGAGACAAGAGACAAGAGACAAGAGACAAGAGACAAGAGACAAGAGACAAGAGACAAGAGACAAGAGACAAGAGACAAGAGACAAGAGACAAGAGACAAGAGACAAGAGACAAGAGACAAGAGACAAGAGACAAGAGACAAGAGACAAGAGACAAGAGACAAGAGACAAGAGACAAGAGACAAGAGACAAGAGACAAGAGACAAGAGACAAGAGACAAGAGACAAGAGACAAGAGACAAGAGACAAGAGACAAGAGACAAGAGACAAGAGACAAGAGACAAGAGACAAGAGACAAGAGACAAGAGACAAGAGACAAGAGACAAGAGACAAGAGACAAGAGACAAGAGACAAGAGACAAGAGACAGAAATAGAAGATAGAGACAGAGATAGAGAGAGTAGTTTCGCTCACATGTGTTCCCATTCCCCGGCCCGGGCCCTGCAAAGTGCAGTTTGAGAGCTCAGGAAGCCAGAAGAATCTTGGTTGCGATTTTTGGTTTTCTCATACAGGTATCCACTTTGCCAGGCCCATAGGCAACGGACTTTCAGTAGTGCCAGAGTTGGGACAGACGGCGGTCCAAGAGCTGGCAGCCCTTTGACTTCTCAGATGGGAGCAGTCCTCAGGTCATTTAAGTTGAAAGTTTACCTAAGATTCTGATTCTTGTGAATGTGAGTGTAGCTTCGCCATACCCACGGGCATCCTCAAAGATGCCTATGAACGTTGCAAGAGTTCGCCTGAGGGCGTCCTCTAGCACCGCTGCGACAGATTAGGAGCCTTGGGATACCCCGAGCGAATCAAGTGCATAAAGAGTTCGGAAGCTGCAGCCACGGGCTGATTTCACATACTTTTTGCATCAGTTCCACCCATGAAGGTGCGATAAGACAGTAAATGCGTCCCAAGAAGAATATGGCGACACAGAAAAAAGACTAATCTAGTGCTGCGCTCGCTTTCTTTTCGTTCACTGCCTTCATACAAGTCATGCATCACGCTCACTGCGCTCACTTGCTCCTAAAAACTTAAAATTGTATTCGCTGGTGCACTATGAATATTAGTACAATTATGCCGGGAAAAAACTATATTCATTATGAGCCAAGCGGTAAAATACTAAGAATATAACACGGTGGGAGAATATTAAAACTAGTGTTTCGGCGAGACAAAATGTAGCTATCAAAAGAATTCAATATAGTGATTACAAACGAATGCAAGGAGTGCGTGGCTCAAGACATTGAGTGAACTATGTCAGCCATTCTGTTTTCGTTTAAAGTTGTTTCTGATAGTACACTGAAGCCTGCCCGTATTCAAGCATGCGACCACACTTTTCTTGTGGTTCCAGACTGCAATTTGAGAACATCGTCGATTTGTGATTGCAGAAAGCAACCTTTCATCTCCCGAGTGCATGCTTGGAATAGAAGTCTTCAGGCAGTACCGTTAAGCTCATTGATCCCATCAGCCCCAGCTGTTGCCCCAAAAGGCTGTCATTTGCTAGCTTCACTTCTACCTGCCCTTCGGAGCTGGTTAATTTGAACCATAGGGACTTTTCAGGGCCAAGGAGCCAAGAACCAAAGATCCCAGAAAAGGTTTGCGCCGATCTTGTCTCCCGGAACCGGGCCCGAGTCAACTATCTCAGGCCAGGTTATGAACAGTCAAAAAGGGCACTGCGGCATGGGGAACCAGCATGGGACTGGGGTCAAATAGTTGATGATGTTGACGCTTCTTGATATGCATTCATGTTGTATGCATACAGTCAGGAGGGGTTGGAATCTTGAACTCAGTCTTCTGAGTGCAAAGATTCAGGATTGCTAAGAACTCTGAAGTCCACTTCTTGGACTAACAGTACAAGCAGAAATGAATGCGTTCGCCCGCCTCGCAGCGGGGCCGGCCCCAAGCGGGCTGCAACTCCCTGGACGGCAAATTTCCGGTTGAGGGTTGGGAAGGAGGAGACCAGATCCTGATCTGCTTGTTTTAGCTGTCTCAGTCGGAAGCCGGGTCGAACATGCAACTTAAGACGTAGTGGAGGGCGAAATCTGGAGCATGGAAGGTATGGAAGTCACCCTGCGAAAGCTCGGGCAGTGGACATGTGCTTCGAACCTCGAAAGGCCCTCCTTGTACATTCTGTATCTGCAATATATACGTATATATAGAGGTTTGTAAATACTTCCTCTTCTCTTTCATGTTTGTGTCTTTGAAAGGCCAATGCACACCCCAATCTCCTGAGTTGGCAGCTTCTGCGGAAGTCAGTGGCACCCGAAGCCCAAACCTCCTGACTCTAGGCATTCAATCAAAAAACCGTGACCCAAGCTAAGGACAACTATGCCATCTCCGATTATGGTGGCGACTCCGAAGGCCCTCTTGGGCACTGAAGAATATGTGGCCTTTGGGGTTTAGTCCGCAGGGGAAGAGGGGATGGGTGGCTGAACGCCTTGAGCCCTAAATCATTCCAAATCTGTAACTTGCCCTGCAATGTGGCTTGTCTTCTCGGGTGGCAAAAGAAGTTGTAAGTTGGGCCTCAGAGCCAGGAGGCCGCGATATTTGCAGCTGTGTGGGTATTTCCGAGAGATGTTCAGAAGCTCTTGAATTTGCAGCTGGTGCAGCTTCGGCATGGGTCCCAGCAACTTCCTTCAGGTGAGGATGCGGCGGCACGAGAGAGGATGCGCCAGAAGAAGGCAGTGCCGAGGTGGTGCGCTCCATGGCCGCATTTGCGGGCCTCGGGCCTGGCTGGAGTCCTGCTTCATGCTCAGCAACAGGGGCGCAGGATGTTTGTGTTTGTGTGTGTCGAATAGAGGTCGTAAAAGTGACGCTTGCTGGAGGTCACCTTAGATGGCGGTTGATAACTTGTGCTTTTGGGGTCCGGCTTTCGATAAGCGGACGCGTCCTAAGGCTTAGAAGGGATGAATGTTGTGTGTTGGGCAGCCCAGCGCAATGAGTGCCCGGACTGCAAGAGCACCAGTCGGAAATGCTTGAGGACAAGTATTTGCTGCAGATTCAGAAGCAGGTGGACGTCGAACCTCGGCCGTTGGTTAGTCGAGAATTGCTGTCAGTGCTAAGCCCCGAGCACATAAAACGGCACTCAATCCCACTATGCCCCACGTGTTCCCAGGATCCTGACACCATCTTCGGCAAGGTGCCGCGGTGTGTCGGCGACTCAGAGTTGACCGCATCTTAAGGAAACCTATGATACTGCCCCGATGATACTTTTCCACGTGCACAGAGGCTCTTAAAAAGCGCGGCTGTCGGCAGCTCTTTTGCCCAGTCTAGAATCGCAAAGGTCGAGAACACGTCGCGAGCAAAGGAAAACTCGAAATTCGAAGTCAAGCGAAATTGGACTCCATAAGAACAAACCTGTCAAAAGCATTTAGGGCTAGGTGTGCTCGGCAATGTCGCGTGCTGACAGGCGTGTGGTTGTATGGAGTCTTTCCTTCAAAGCGAACCGAAACCCGAGCCAGTCATAGCCAGCCAAAGCAAAACCAGCCAAACCGATTGACCTTCAGTGTTCCTCGATTGTCCAATGTGACCCCCCTGGATGGACAAATGCTTGCCTGTGAGTGTGGCGTCGAACCAAGGGCACTTGCACCTGTCAGTGACAAAGCTCGCATAGGCCTCCTTGAAGGGCTCTGCTATGTTGCCAAGCCACCTTACTACAAATACCTCTGCGACTCCAAGCCCGTGCCCATTCCACGGGCTTCAAGCGACTTCCATAACATTCCAAGCCATTTCCCAAAATAAAGCTTTGACAAGCGGAGGTTCTGGACGACATGTTCCCCGACAGCGTGTACCGGCAGGCCTGGTCTAGTTTTCGGTTGAGTCACTGCTGAGACACCCAGGCCAGGGTGCATGTTGTTGTTAGAAGGCTTTCCTCCTTAACTACAGCGCCTACATCTGGAGCTTTAGATTAAAAGCCGACGGGGCGTGACTGTCGGACTTTCGAAGGATCGAGAATATTGGCAGGCCCGGCAGAAGAGACCAGCTCGCCGACGCGGTTCCTCTTGCCATGTGCTCAGTGGTAAGGACATGAGTGCAGCACTGAGGGACAGGCCCGAACAGAGTACAGCTGCGATGCACACGGACATAGGCGACTGGCGCCGTGACCGCCTCACTCGCAGCGAGATCCGTGCCTACAAGCAGCAGTGCCCGGGCCGAGCTTCAGATTTCTGATTTTCAGCGGGCTTTGGTGGCTGAATGTGGTGTAGGGCCAAAGAGAACACCCGAAGTTCAGTGCTCACACCAACTTCCGTTTTTGCATGTACAAAAGGGTTCTTGTCCAGCTGCACAGAGCGGAGTGTTACGGATCCGCACCGAGTCTACGCCATGCAAGCTTGTTGCGAAAGAGAGTGTTCTCCTCAACAAGTTATTCTGGTTTGCAGGGCATGTAGGCATGTAGGCATGTAGGAGGACAGCAGCTAGGGCAGAAAAAAAGGGACCGATGAATTGCCAGCCCCCAGCCTTGGCCCAGGATGGGGCAGAAGCGAAGCTCCCCGGGCAGCAGATGCTTCAATAGTCTGGATAAGGAGTGTAGGTTTGGGATGGTTTGGGGTCGAGGTTGCACTGATGATCCTGCAGGTGGAGTCAAGTGTCGGGCAGGTCACTGCAAGGGGTACATGTTCCCTTTCACTGCAGGGCGCGCATCATGGCAAGTGGCCTTGGTGTTGCGCTCGTAGCTTCCAGTCGTGTGTTTAGGCTCTTCGAGTTTTGCCGCCACGTCGAAAGCTCACATGTACCCTCATGCTAAACTAAGTCTACTGACTGGAGCAAGAGAAGGGTCAAGGCAGGGTCAATACACTGGAGAAGCTGCAGCCGCATAACTTTCTCACACATTCATCAAAGTCGATGTCGCTTTACGGTCTTCAAGTGGTCGAGCATCCAAGCATGGTGGGATGGACGGCCGTGGCTGTCCTTCTCGTGCTGACTGCCGCGAATGCCGACAATGCTACAGAGGCCGCAGCACAGCCGTGGCAGGGTCCCTGTGCCCGGATCGTGAGCTGCCCTGCCTGACGCCTCAATGCACTGCCCAGCGTGAAGAAGTTTCTGAAAGAACGTAACGGAGCGGATCTTTATCCCATGGTGGAGGTGAGCTGGCAAAGGGGGCATGATCCAGAGATGGAGGTCTACACTTGCCATGGCCGACCGCCCAGCGCGGGCGTTGAGTCGGGACTGCAGCCCTCGGCACGCATTGCACTCTCGCCTTTCAGCACGGTGGACCTACACTTCTTGTTGCAGTGCCAGGACATCCAGCCCTTGCCCGGCAGCCAGGCGCCCAAGGCTATGTCCAAGGCCGATGCCTGCGGCAGGCTTCCAGAGGTCAGCACCTGGGACTGGAATCCTGCTTTGTCTTGGGGCACTGGAATCCTGCTTTGTCTTCTTTTTGCCGTCCCGATCTTCATCCTTTGCCGCCTGGCGCAGACCACCTCCGGTCCCCTTTTGCGCCACCGCCTGGGCCCGAAGGCCAAGTTGGATGATGAGGAGCTGGAGACCTCGGCCCCGCCAGCGCCGGTCTAGGGAGTCTAGCTGCGAAACTTTCCGCTTTCCTGCAGCACCAACTGCGAAATTCACAGTATATTGAAGGTTCCACATTCCACAGTACATTGCCATGCCCACATGATGCAGCTTGTGAAGTGCACGAGGTTTTTGTCCCGGACTGCTGCCCTTCGGCAATGTAAACGTAGTCTACTGTAGAAGTTTGCTGTCGAGCGTTCTTTTGCGGAGCTCTCCTAGAAGCTATGGGGACAGCCGTTAGCGACAGCTGCTCCGGGAAGGCCACTCGTGAGCTGATGGCTCGCGCCCTGTAGGCGTGGCTCAGTGTCGCTGAACCTTGCAACTTTAGAAGCTGCAAGGTTGTGCACACGATCTGTGGATGTCTTCGTTAACGAAATGTCTCACGCTTGGCAGCAGCGATTGCCGCGGTGAAACCTGGAGTTGCGCAGGTTGGCGGGACGCTGTCTAGCGATGGCTTCATGGGCTTTGCCACTTCTCGTCCTAGTTGAGAGAGATATTGTTCACTGAGTTGCAGGTAAGTAGAGATGCAGGTGCATCCGAGAAACCCTTGAATCCCTGGCGGTTAAGGTCGCAACCCCCGGGAAATAGAAGCCAACATCGGGAAAAAAACCAGAGACAGCCTCAACTGTGAATGGACCTGCCATGACCTGCTGGCATTCATGTGGTGACGTAAAAGCGCTCATGGCCTATGGCTCGCTGCTGTAAGGATGGGTTCGTCTTTGCTCAGGGGCAGGCCGTCCCAGGCTAACAGGCGTTGTCAGCCCAAGACCCAGAATCCAAAGCCCACATGGCGGAGTGTTGTTTTTGATGAAGCCGCTCCATCATCTCCTGGGGTGTGTTATAAGGGGATTCGGTCTACAGGGATGTTTCTGCGTGGGGTCAGTAGCCGCAGTAGCCGCGGTAGCCCACGGTAGCCAAGGTTGGGATGACGGCCACCTTGTGGACCATCGCCGCTGACCTGGTGGGCCCTGCGGTGCGGTCGTCTTTCCTCAAGTCTTGTTTTTCATGGCGGTTCGGCCTTTGTCAGGGCATCCATCTAAACTTGGCAATTGTAGTTACGGTATTCAAAACAAGTACTGGTTGGACATCAGGCAACAAACGCACCGTACCAGGGCCTGTTGCGTGCCCTCACAGGACTTGGAGTTTTATCGATTTGGGGGTCTGAGTCAGAGAGCATCAGAGAGCGACAGCGTCAAGGCCTTCCCATTCGATCCAACCACCACACGTTCCCAGTACAACCAGCGTCCATATGCAAAAGCACGTGCAAAGTTGCACCCGGAACTGCTGAAGCCATGTAAAGTCAGCGGGCACGGTTTGGACACACGCTGTGTGGACAGGTTCATGGACATAGGCTTGTGGACTTTGGGGTGCTCCGGGAATTTGTAGTAGTTCAGTGAGTTCAGTGCTCGAGGTGGCAGTTGCACCCAGTTGCAAGACTCATGTTTCTGCGTGTGGAGGTGCGCACCTTTCTTTGAGATTCTGAGTTTGCCAGTGTCCATTGTTGGAGGTCGTTTGGCGTGGGCCGCTTTGAGTCTTGTCCATAGCAAAATAATTCAGAGCTGACGGCAGCATGTTGCAAGCTGAGTGCTCACGGACTGTCGCCGGCTGTGCACAGCATCTCCATGGGCCAAGAATGTCGTGTGCCCGTTGATTTGTAACGCATTTTCGGAGACAGTCCCAAATTCGAAGTGTCATGCACCAGGACTCCCATCTTCTGAACAGACCAAGATTGTCAGGAAGGTGTCGCAACACAATCCTGGAAGTCCGTTTCCATGCACGACTTTTGCATGCTAGTTGTTTCCCGACCCCGCAGTCTGCAGTCCAGCACGCAGACTGTTGAATCCAATGCAACCCACGGAAAACGCCCGGCTGAGTGCCCGGATGGGGCCCGACTGGTTTCTCGATTTCCGACCTGACAGCCACACAAGCATAAAGGAATCTCCCCATCCCGGGCAACGGCTCAAGACTTCGTTTCTTGCCCCCCTTTTTTTATCTTTAAGCCATCCCAAGCCTTTAGAGGGGGTATGTCGGGTATGTCAAGACTCACCCGACCCATCAGCACACACCTGAAACCAAGCCCTGGCGTAGATGCCAAGTTGTCCGAGCAAAGAAGATTCAGGGGCGACTTGGCGGCCTGTAGTCACGTGACCCCTGAACTGGTCCTGAACAATTCTCTGCGAGACCTTAGAACTCTGTACCAAACGTGAAATCCTTGAACAACCCTGCAAAAGCCCTTAAGCCTTAAGCCCCACAACCCTACTTGCCGAATTGAGCCGTGCCGATGCGGGGAAGTGCATGTAGCTGTGGAGGCCGGCGGCAGGGTCTTTGGATTTAGGATCTGTGGGGCACAGAAGGATTGGGATTGGGAGCGGCTTCTATTTCAAAAGCTAGACAGTGAATAAGGCACTTCGGATGACAAAAGTATCATCCATCACCATGAGCAGCAGCCGCTGCCACCAGCAGCATCATCCTCACTGCTGTCGTCGTCCTCATCATCATCACCATTTGAGCCGGTTGAAACCAAAGGCTCAGGTAATCTACCAAGCTTCGTCACCGCCGCGCCAGTGCACCAAAACGAAAGGGCAGCATAGTTGAAGGTTTCCAGGCCACCAGCCACCCAGAACGAAAGGGGTTCAGGTTTTCGGGGGTCCTACGTTTGTGCTGCGGGATTGTGCAATGGCTTCCTAGAACGCTTGTTGCTCGCCAGTCGTGAAAGCAGAAAACGGCAAACCTTGGCCTCGAAGCCTCACGACGTACTCAGCCATAGGCCATAGTAGCCATGTTTCGTCATTGTGCTGTGAACGTGCCTGGGTTTCGCATACATGTGTCATGCTAATCAGAGCGGTATCATATGACTCATATCCTCCAGCCGAGTGGACAATTTGCCTGGCTCATGTTGCGCGGCAGGATGCTGGCATCGCCAGGGCCGCTGCCCCACTCGCCAATGCTCAGCCTCGTGGGTCCAGAGTGGAGGTATGCAGCCCCAACTCATCCAAGTCCAAGCGCGCAAAGCTACAAGAGGTAGCATCTCTGACAGTGAACCTACATTCCAGAAAATTGGCTGAACCCTGTAATCCAGTGTAGCATGTCAGTCTTTGACTTGCGCATTGCCCAGAAGCCCTTGTCGCGAGTGAAAGCGGAGCTTCAATTCTGCACCAAAAACACATGAGAGCAGAGCGGAAACAATCTTGCAGGGCTGGACCTCCGGCTGGGAGGCTGTCGCGGCCGGGCTCTGCACCGACACTAGGCCGGCGCAGGCCTTGCGGCTGGCAGTTTGAAGATTCCGGAATGTCTTCTCAGCATCAGTGTGCGCACAATGTGCAAAGAGCTGCTGGGAGCATTAGCCAGATGCTCAACATTCCTGAACATGCTTCTAAGGTTGAATAAGGGCGCAGAGGCGCAGACATAAAAGCTTTTGAGACGAAATCCAAGTCGGCCCAAGGTCTTCCCGAGTTTTCCTTTCGGGACCAAAGCACGGATCGTCAACTGCCAGTGCCGTAGGCCCTCCTCCGCTAGCTCGACGAGCCGGCCCCGGCCCCGTTCCCGGCCGAGCTCTGCACTGCCCACTGCTTCCACGGCAGCGACGGGACATCCAGCGCAGCCTGGACCATCGAGAGCTAATGGAGAGGGTGTCTCATGGGGTTTTGACAGGCAAAGCCGAGGAACCCGTATCTGGATGCTGGATGGCCCGTTGTTTCCCGGCTAGCGGCTAACCTTGCCCAAATCGGTGTGCAACAGCATGTTTCACTTCCGTGGATGTCATGCTTTCGGTCACAGTCGCAGGGAGTGAATGCCCAACACACGACCCGCAGTCTGCGATGCCTTGGCACCGCCGAAAGCCATGTCATTGCCACATGCAACCCTGAATTCTTTCGCTTTACATCCTTCTGACCTGAGGAGTGGAGAGGCACGGAGAGTCATGGAGAGTCCAGAGCCCCCTGAAAGAACCCTCCAATTTCAGGCGATCCGTGGTCACCTGCAGTCTTGGCACCTTCGGTTCCCGCCCCCTCTCGGCTCCTCTGCGGCGGAGCTCCTCACACCCAGCGGCGGTCCCAAAGCAGAGGCGCCCCTGGAGTCTGGCAAATAGGGAATTTCCAGAGCAAGCTACGCCTTCGACAACGTGTGAAGATTGTGCAGAGGGCATGGGCTGTGATGTGGTTATCGCCTGCGGCCCCACTTGTCCCCCATAGTGATGCAAGTCTCCTTGAAGTGATGTCGTCAGGGCCAGACTTTCATTTATGCGACACGTGGAGCACAAGAAATATCCCAGACCGGAAGGGAGCAAGTCAGCGGTCCCCCGCGAACTCCCACTGCGCAATTGGTAAGAGGGCCAATGTTTTTTTTCACGACTCACGCTCTCGAGCTAATTTCACTGAAGGCCGCAGTCGGCCGTGGTCGGGCGACAACAACATCAGCAACCCACAAGGTCGGCCGTGTGTGTCCTACTGTAGAGGAGAAAGCAATCGGAAGCATGTAGACTCTAGGGGCGAACTTTCGTGGTCAGGTTGTCCATTTGGAGTTTCGAATATCGATGATGGCTTAAGGTTTATATCTCTCACCCGAGGTTTTGGAGACCACGTGCGGGACCAAAGGGCAACGTTGTCAGGATTTGTGCCGGCGATTGTGGAAGGGGTGTGAAGGTGGCGTGTGCGGAGGAACAACTCACAAGGGCCCACGTCGCAGAACTCTGCTACGGCGGCAGTATGTGGCAGTTTTTAGTTTGGGCACCGTAATCTTGTTTGGTTATGCTGGACTGCAACGTGGATCAGGCCAGCCAAGCCGCCGGAAGTGCAACACGCAGAGCACTGCCCATGGAAGCGACAGAAGGCGAAGAAGCCGAAATGCACGGAGACTTGGGTTGATCGAGCCCAGACAACCTCCGCAAGTTGATCCCTGAAACCACTCGGAGTCCCACTTTCCCGTAGAATGGCATGAATGCATCGAGAGCTTCGGGACTTGCAGCAATTGCACTCTGCATCACTCTGCGCTTTGAGAATGTTACCCAAGAGCATTGAGCGAGTGCTCATTGTCGACAAATAATCGACTCTTCGGAAAGCTCGGGCCACGAGAAGAGGTGCCATCACTAAATCTATATCTGGCCTCCAAAAGATGCCTAGAAAGTAGATACATGTACATATGTATATATATATATATACATAGGTATATATATATATATGTATACATATATATACATATGTATATATATATGTGTATATATATATATATGTATACATACATACATACATACATACATACGATCCACATTTTTATGTCTTCCACAAGAAAGGAACCCTTGACCTCAAAAGTGCGTGCTGTCCCAAACTTTTTCGCGTCTGGAATCAAGAAGATTGGGACAGAGCAGCATGCTTGCTGCCCCAGACCTAGGAAATGCTGTATTGTCCCCAAAAAAGCCAAGCAAGAAGCCCACACGCTAAGAAATTCTGCTCTGGGTCCGAAGCAAATGCCAGACATAACTGTAAATTAAGAGGCCGCACCCAAAGATATCATCTTCTGCGCATCATTCGTCAGTAAACCTAAATCTGCTTAGAGTTATAGACCTGAAGGCCACGCCCTGTGAAATCCTCTTCCGGGGCCTTTTCATTACTATGAAGCCACTCCCTAAGAAATCCTCATCTGGGCCTCGTTCGTAATTGAACCCAGTTATACTGATTACAGTCATCGGCCACAGCCCAAGACATCCTCTTCTGCATAAGCCTCACTTGGAGTTACATGCAATGAAAATTAGATCTTAAAAGCCACACCGTGAAATCCTCCTCTGAACCCCCGCTCGCAAGAAAATTGAATTGGAATCTTGTATTCAAAAGCCACACACTAAGAAATCCTCATCTGGGCTGCGTTTGTAGTTGTTGAATTTGATTAGAGCGATAGACTCAGAAATCACACCTCTATGACATCCCTTCTAAGCCATATTCGGAGTTATATATACTTAGAATTTT